GTCACGGAGCTTTGCCCGGGCTTCGAGCATTTGGATTTTGAGCGTGACTTCCACGATGAGCACTTCGTCGACGGTTCCTGCTTCAAACAGATCGTGCCTGAGCTGTCTCGAGCAGGCTGGGCCGTGACGTTGCTTGACAGGCAGGCCCTCCAGGAGGTTATCCGTATCAGGGGTCCCGTCTGGCCTCCTTATCCCCAAACTCCCCAGAGTGCTGAATTTCATGCCTTTGCTGCTGCTGCTCGACATTGAAGTTCCAAGTCCACTATTTTTACGGATTGCTTAAATGTGTACGGTTATGTTTTGCTTTCATGGGTCAATCGGACATTGCATAGGAGGATATATTCTGGTTGTGCCCAGTTCGTCCGGCAAAACCTTCCGTTTGTTGATGTGCGGAAGGTGAAGGCGCATATAGACGTCTCAGAGGCATCTTGCGAAGATGATAAGTTCATGCGCATCGGTAACAATATAGTGGATGCGTCGGCGAAGGTTGCGGCGCGGTCCCATCCTCAGCCCGACGTTCAAGAAATGACAACCCTCGACCAGAATATTGCTGTTGCGAGAGCTGTAGGAGTGCTGGCGGCGAAGCTGCTGCCCCTTTGGCCTGCGCTCCGCCTCGAAGAGGGAGTTGAGCGCACCAAGCCTCCTGCTCGTGATAGGCCCGATGTCGTTCCCCACCGTTGGGTTTTTACATCGAAATTCTGGCGTTGTGAAGGGTGTTTGAAGGTCAGTCGGTCTCGTGACAAACCTGCCGGGGGGAACTGTCGGGGTCCCCATAAGCTTGACCCCCAAGTCTTCTCGAGGCTCCAGCACAGGTGCGTTTCACTTGGATGCTCTGACGGGGCGACCCTGGTCGTGTGTTTGAAATGCAAGGCCTACTCAGGCCATGGCCAGGTGAGGAACCTCGCCAAAGAATGCATCAAGGCCCCCCCAAGTGCGGGAGCTTCAGCTGCCTGGACGGCGATTTCGTCAGGTCACCATCCGAAGTTCCGCGGCGTGACCGTCCAGAGGGGCCCCTGGTCACAATGATCGGGGCTAGGCGGTCAGCCCTCGGGGCCGTCTGGTTCATTTGAGGTGGAAGGCATCTGCGGTCGAAAAAAATCCTCCGTCCTTCCCCTGCTCCTCCTGCTCCTCCATGTTTTTTCCTTCTTCCTCCTCCTCCTCCTTCTTGTTTTGCCACTCCTCCGCCCTCCTTCCTCATCCCTCCATCTCCCTGCCCCGCCTTATCCTCCACCTCCTTCTCCTGTTCGTCGTCGTCCTCCTCCTCTTCGCCCTCCTCCTCATCCTCCTCCTCTTTCTCCTCTTCGCCCTCCTCCTCATCCTCCTCCTGTTCCTTCTCCTCCTCTTCCTCCTCCTCCTCCCCCCTTCCTCCTCCTCCTCCTCCTCCTCCTCCTCCTCCTCCTCCTCCTCCTCCTTTTTCCCCTCCTTCCTCATACGCATCCGTATTGTCTTCTCGCGACATGTAAATGAATAGGGAGGGGGGAAAAAAGAACCCGAAGGTTCTTTTGGCACTTTCTCTCCTTTTCGGCCGTCTTGGTTGCATCTTGGGGCCATCTTGCGCCTTCTTGGGGCCATCCTAGCCGTCTCGGGGGCATCTTGGAGGCCGTCTTGGAGGCGATTGGGCCAACGGAGTTGGGTTTGTCGGCGGATTATGCGGCTATCCGGCTGGCCGGCACGTTGGGGCAAAGCCCCAGGGGCATTCTACAACCAACAGCGACTAAAAGTTCAGCATGCCAGGCACCCCCGTGATAAATCAACAGGGGGCGGCGGATCGAAGACGCCTACGGCGAATCACCGCCGCCCCCTGCCTTTGTGGAAGCCCTTATGTGGCCGACAGCTGGGCCAGAGCTTGGCCAAGCTAGTGGGCCAGTTGTTCCCCGAGTCGGTTTGGAAAGACTTCGGGGAACGCGTGGGGGAGCAAGAAGAGGAGAAGGGGGGGAGGATGGGGAAAAAAGGAGGAGGAGGAGGCCTCTTGGGCGCCTCTTGGGGCACTCTTGGGGCCTCCTGGGAGCTTCCTGGGGGCCTTTCGGAACCGTCTTGGGGGCCCCTTGGGCCGTCATGGGGCCATCTTGGAGGACTCGTGGGCGATCTTGGGGGCTTCTTGGACCGTCTTGAGCCGTCGGAATGCCGAAAAGAAGCAAATGCCAAAATCCTTCAACAACCTGAGGAAAATCAATGAGTTTGGTCTTTTCGGGCCCTCCGGGAGGACCTCTTGGAGGCCTCGTTGGCCGTCTTGGAGGCCTCTGGGGGGCATCTTGGGCCGTCTTGGGCCATCTTGAGGCCATCTTAGGCCGTCTTGGGTGCATCTTGGGCCGTCGTGGAGGCGTCTTGGGGCCATATCAGCTGTCTTGGAGGCCATCTTGGCCGTCTTGGAGGTCTCTCGGGCGGTCTTGGCGCCCTCCTGGGAGCATCTTGGGAGCCTCTTGGGCCGTCGTCATGGGGCCATCTTGGAGGCCTCGTGGGCGATCTTGGGGCCTCCTGTGCCATCTTGGGCCGTCAGAAAGCGGAAACGGCGCAAACGCAAAAATCCTTCAACAACCTAAAGAAAATCTAAGATTTTGCCCTCTTCAGGCCCTCCTGGAGGACCTCTTGTATGCCTCGTGGGCCGTCTTGGAGGCCTCTTGGGGGCCTCTTGGGCCGTCTTAGGCCATCTGGAGGCCATCTCAGGCCGTCTTGGGTGCATCTTGGGCCGTCTTGGAGGCATCTTGGGGCCATCTTGGCCGTCTTGGAGGCTATCTTGGGCGTCTTGGAGGCCACCTTGGGCCGTCTTGGAGCCGTCTGGACAAGAAAAACCCTTTGGAGCCGGGTCTGGAAGATCTTCTTCCGGGACCCCGGCGGGACGCGCCGGAGGCCGAGGGGGAGCTCTTGTGCAACAAAAACCAAAACCGAGAGGATCCAGCACGCCAGGCACCCCTGCGATGAATCGACTTGGGGCGGCGGATCGAAGACGCCTACGGCGAATCACCGCCGCCCCCTGCCTTTGTGGAAGCGCCTATGTGGCCGACAGCTGGGCTAGAGCCTGGCCAAGCTAGCGGGCCAGTTGTTCCCCGAGTCGGTTTCGAGAGCCTACGAGGAACGCGTGGGGGAGCAAGAGGTTTGAAAGCGCTCATGTGTCCGAGCGTTTGGCAAGAGCTCTGCCAAGCTGTCGGACCACGTGTTCTCCCAACCGTTGTGGAAACCCTTCGGGGAACATTTCTGGGAAGATGGCGGGGAAGAAGAGGAGGAGTAGGAGGAGGAGAAGGAAGAAGGAGGAGGAGGAGGAGGAGAAGGAGGTGGAACAGAAGGATGAGGAGATGAGGAGAAGGAGTCTTGGGCGTCTTGGAGGCCTCGTGGGCCGTCTTGGGTGCCTCTTAGGGCCGTCTTTGGCCTCTTGGGCGATCTTTGGGGGCACTTGGGCCGTCTCGGGCCGTCGGAAGGCAGAGAAAAAGCAAATGCCACAATCCTTCAAAAACTCACGGGAAATGATTTTGGCCTTTCGGGGCCTTCCTGGAGGCCCTCTTGGAGGCCTCTTGGGCCGTCTTGGAAGCCTCTGGGGGGCCCTTGGGCCGTCTTGGGCCGTCTTGGACCCTCTTGGGCCGTCTTGGAGGCCATCTTGGACCATCTTGGGCGAACTTGGAGGCCATCCTGGGCCATCTTGGCCGTCTTGGAGGCCATCTTGGGCCAACTTGGGGCAACAAAGGTATTGACGGATGCGTTTTGAGATCCTCTCCGAGACCTCGGCGGGACGGGCCGAAGCCCCAGGAGGAGGAGTTCTTTTGGAACCGAAATCGTCTAGCACGCCAGGCACCCCTGCGATGAATCGACAGGGGGCGGCGGATCAAAGGGCCTTCGGCCCACCCCGCCACCGTGCCTGCGTTGTGGGCCACAGGCCTCTAAGATGTTCGTTGGGATGTCATGGGGGGCCTCTCGGGGGCCTCGTGGAGGTAAATTTGTAGCCTCTTGGGGGCCGTTTGGGCCGTTTGGGGGATTGGGAGCGTTTTGGGGACCTCTTGGGGGCCTCTTGGGGCCTTCTGGGGGCACTCAGAGGCGGAAGGCTAGAACTTTCGATTGGTGTTCCCCTTCTTGAGCCCTTCTTGTAGCCGTCTTGGAGCCCTTTTGGGCCGTCTTGGGCACCTCTTGGGCCGCCTTGGGGCTCTGCTAGGCCGTCTTTGGGGGCCCTTAGGGGGCCTCTTGGGGCGTCTTGGAGCAGCGGGAAGACGAAAAAGCGAAAGCGCTCAACACATGGAAAAACCACAGGACAATCAATGAGTTTGGCATCATGGGATGCCTCTTGGGCCTCTCTTCGGGCGTCCGGAAGGCTTCCTTAGGCCGTCTCGGGCCATCTCGGGCGGCTTGGAGTGCTCGCTCGGCGATTCGAAGCCCCCTGGAGGGCCTCCTGGACCACCTTTGGCTCCTCACGCGATAACGCCCAAGACACTCCGGCAATTGCAGGTCCAGGCTCTCGAAAGGAGTCCCCAGGATTGTGGGCTGAGGCTCAGGGAATTGAGCAAGGAACCCGAGGACATTCCAACTCGTGCCCGAGGGCACGGTGGCGGATGACGCTGCCTTTTCGCACTCGGCATAACTGCCTTAAAGCATACAGGTCCTTTTCAAAACGGAGCGCTCCCCTGGCGGGCCCATGATGTGATCGCATTTCGAAATGGCGCCTCTGTTGTGGAAAATGAAGGCCTGTTTGGACTCGCGGGGCAGGGATGCGGGACGAGAGGGTGTCAGGGCCTGTTTGGACTCGTGGAGAGGGGATTTGGGACGAGAGGGTCTCTTGAAGCATCGTTGCTGCATTCTGGGTTTACTTGGGTCCCCCGCCGTCCCTTCGCTCCCTCTTCATCCTGCGGCTGCTCTTGTTCCTGGTGCTGCTCCTCACCAGTCCCTCCTCCTCCTTCTGCTCCTCCCTGCTCCCCACTCCCGTGTGGGGGAGGGAGGGGTGGAGAACAGGAAGGAGAGGCTGGCTGCGTAATGGGAGGCGGAGGCGGAGGCGGATGCAGCGGCACGCCTCGACTGACCAGGTGGGCCTCGGGGGCATCGGCTCCGAGGAGCAGGTGGCGGTCCTGAACGCCTGCGAGCAGGCGGCGAGGTCGCCGCAGCAGATCACGTGCGCTGCCAGCCAGGGCGTCGAGCAGGACAGCTCGACCCCGCTCGCAGACATCAAGACGGGCGTGACGCTCTACACGTTCGCGCGCGGCCCTCAGGCAGCGGCCGCGGCCGCCGGCCCTCCAGTGATGGGCCAGTCTTCCACCACCGCCACCACCACCACCACCACCACCACCACCACCACCACCACCACCACCACCACCACCACCACCACCATAAGGTGCAGGGGTTCTCCTCCTCCTCCTCCTCCTCCTCCTCCTCCCCCTTCTCCCCGTGGTGGAAAACAGGCCCATCATCCAGGCCCCGGGGGGCCCAGCCGAGTGCTGCAGAAGTTGGCTCTGGTGACGGCGGTGCGGCCGCGGCGTGGCCCGGCCTGCTCGCCAGGAGACCGCTCGTCCGGAGTCCCGCGCTCGCCCGGAGGTGCCCGCTCACCCAGATGTGCCCGCTCGCCCCGGAGACGGCTCGCCCGGACGACCGCTCGCCCGGAAGCGAGGGGGCCTCCTGGGGACGGCCGCGATGCAGCTCAGGTGCGATCGTGGGATGTGGGGATGGGGAGAACTAGCATCTGAGGGTGATGCGGATATGGGGATGATTGATGTTACGGGCAGGAGTTCGAGGCAATGGGAAGTTGGGATGTGGTTGAGGATGAGCAAGAGGGAGGGTGAGGAATATGAGTGGACTGCGATGGTGTGCGTTGGGAGGCTCTTGGGAGGCTCCTTGGGGAGCTAGCCTTAGGCGGAGACCCAGCTGCTCACTATCGTAGGGTCGAGCAGCTCGCTGTACTGACAGGTCTGCGATGCCTCCCTGCGGCCTCCGATGGGGCCGTGCGGAGAAGAGAGTTGTTCTTGCGAGGTGGCCTGCTCGCTGGCGACTGATTTTAATGGCTGCGGCCAGGCGCTGATAAGATGCACTTGCTCCCCAGAGACGACCGGTGGGATCCAGCAGTCTGCCCGACAGGACGTTTGAGGGCAGCTCGGGCGGACGGCGTGGCCAGGACAGAAGGAGGATGCGGGCGCGGGTGGAGAAGGGGTAATGGGGGAGGAAGCAGGGGATGACGCTGGGGAGGGTGAAGAGGAGGGAGGAGCGAGGAGGGGCGAAGGAATAGGAAGTAGGAGGTGGAGAATCAAGAAGGGAGAGCAGGGCTGTCGAGGAAGCAGGCGGGCTGATGGGGGATGGGAGGTGGCAGGAGTGAGAAGGGAGGGAGGGAGGGAGCGATGGAGGGAAGGATGCTCCGGGGAGCAAGGGGAGTCACACGTGAGCACGGAGGGCCGATCCTTCTTGGAGGAGGGAGGCGGGAGGATCGAGGAGGGGGTGTGCGACCCGGCTTCCCAAATTAGGCCGGAGTGGATGGGGTCAGAGGATCGCGCCGCACCGCAGGGCAGCGGGGATTCGGCGCGATTTGGAGTCCGTTTTTCTCCGCCCTGGCGTCGCGGTGCGACCACCCGACCCCATCTACTCCTAAGTCGGGCCTGTCCCTCTACAGGAGGAGTATTCAAAAATAGTCCAGAAACTAGTCTGAGGTATTTTTGAGCATGTTTGGAATATTGTTTGACTATTTCTTATTTTTCGTCCAGAATTCCTCTGTAGGGGGGACAGGCCCGACCTAAATCTATTCTGGCTCCAGTTGGGAGGCCTCCCCACACCTCCAGAAACACGTCCGAAGCTTTGACCCTCCCTCCTCCTCCCGAGGAGCCGGAGGCCAGGAGCCACGCGCCGCGCTCGTGGGGCAGGCAGCGGGGGTCAGCGTTGATGGGCCTCCGCTGATCCCCTCCGATCCCCCCTTGGGGGGCCACATGCGAACCCTACCCCTGCCCCCCACGATTTCGAACGAAGTGAACCCCACCCTCCCCCTCCGAAATCGTGGGGGGCAGGGGTAGGGTTCGCATGTGGCCCCCTACCCTGGCCGACCCGGGTTTGGGATGCATGAGCCGGAGGCTCTCTTCCGCCCTCCGCTGGCCCGGGTTCGGGGACCAGTTCGTGTGCGGACTCGGTTCGGGGCATGGCCTCGGGCAAGCTGCAATCCAGGGCTCGGCAATATGCAGCTGGAGCAGACGAAGAATGGAGAACGCTTCGACCCCCTGAAGCAGCTCTTTCGGGTGCGCCACTGTCCTGGCTCATCAAAGTCCCTGTTTACGGGACCCCGAGGGTCATGGGCTGGCCAGGGTAAGCGCGTCCCCAAGCCTCGGAGGTTGATCGAAGCCCCCCCCCCCTTCCAAGCCCTCTTGCGGTTCTCGAGAGGGCGCTGCGGCCGCAGTTCTTGCGGGCCTGCGCCCGCTGGGTCAGGTCCTGGGTCATTTTTGCCGAAGGGGTTGATGTGCACCCCCGAACAAGTTTCATGAGTCGCATCGCACCTCATCCCGGCGTCGATGTCAAGGTTCCCCTCAGTGTCTCAGGGCCCATCCCGAAGATTGTCATCGCCTTGGACTTGTCAGTCTTGGGGATGCAGTCGGCAAGTGCACAAGAAATTGGCTTTGCTCCATGTTCCCCACAGGAGTCTCGGATCCCCAGATGGCCCCTGTGACCCGCAGGAGCGCGTGAGTTTTTCGGAAGTTTGAAGGCCGATCCCCAAAGCGCCCTGGAGTACTGATCGTGAAAATTCTTACTGTTCGTGCCTACTTCAAGGAACTGATCCCTACACCGAAGTAAAAACGGCAGAACCTTTCGGAGATCCGCGCGGATCTCTTGGATCGGCGTTCGGGCCCCCCTGGCGGCGCGTCCGGCCGGCACCGCACCTGGCGCGCTCCGCGCGCCAGGGAGGAGGACGTGGTTCCAGCGCCGATTCAAGAAACCCGCCTCCGAGTTCCAAGGCCCCCTCCTCCTCGTCCTCATCCCGCTCCTCCTCCTCCTCCTCCCCCCCCTCCTCCTCCCCCTCCTCCTCCCCCTCCTCCTCCTCCTCCCCTCCTCCTCCCCCTCCTCCTCCTCCTCCTCCTCCTCCCTCTCCCCCTCCTCCTCCTCCCCCTCCGCCTCCTCCTCCTTCTCCTCCCCCCGTGCCGCTCCTCCTGCCCGAGCTGCAGCAGGCACCACACGCGAGAGAGCTGCATGGTCGAAGTCGCTCCGGGGCTCGCGCGCCTGGCCGCTGCCGGGCCCGCGGGCGCCGTCCGCCGCCGCCGCCCGAGGTGCGTCCTGGTGCCGGCCCTGCGCCGGGCGCTCCACGCGCTGCGTGCGGAGACCGGGCGCCCCCCCCCATGCCAGGCGGGTGCGGGCGTGTCGCGGGGAGGGGGGCGGTCAACGGAGGAGGGAGGAGGAGGAGGAGGAGGAGGAGGAGGAGGAGGAGGAGGCGGAAGTGGAGGAGGAGGAGGACGAGGACGAGGAGGAGGAGGAGGAGGAGGAGGAAGTGGAGGAGGAGGAGGAGGAGGAGGAGGAGGAAGTGGAGGAGGAGGAGGAGGAATAATAATAATAATAAGCATAATACTTATAGTCATAATAATAATAACGGTTATGATAATAAGAATAATAAAAATCACAATGCTAATCTTTAATAATAATAATAAGAAGAAGAAGAAGAGAAGCATAATAATACGAATGCTAACATTAATAACACTAATAATGTAGTAATAATCATAACAATAAGAAGAACAATAATAATACTAATAATAAGAATAAGAAGAAGAGGAGGAGGAGGAGGAGGAGGAGGGCGGCAGGAGTCGGAGAAGAAACAACTGCCAAAACGTTCGGTAGGTTCGCGTCGTGTCGACCAGTGGCGACCCCGCCGCTGGCGTTCAACGTTACACGCCCCCACCGACCCAGAGTGGGTCCATGTTGAATGAGCAGATGTTTCGGAGACGGCCGACTGTGCAAATGTTGAACGATCCCCGCGGTGTCAGGAACCAGCACCAGGGTCGCCGCGCCACGGACCTACCGTGCACACCTGGGGCGCCCTGCGCATTTTTCTTGGAGCGGCGCTGCCCCCCCCTCCGGCGCCTCTGGCGCTGCCCTTGGCGCGCTCCGCGCAGATCCAAGAAATCTGCGCGGATCGTCGAAAGTTTAGATGGGTGCCGTTGGTTTTTTGTATCCTCTCACGGACGGGGGCCCTGCTGTAAGGGGTCCCTGGTGCCCCGAAGGTGCACGAAGGGCGCACCCTTCTTCACCTCTTCGATTGTTGCCTCCCTTTCTGACGCAACGCCTGAGGGGGTCCTGCGAGCGGTCGCCACGAGGAAAGGGGGGGCCAGTCCGGGACAGCGCTAGGGGGTGATAGGCTCCAGGGGGGACAAAGTTTCGAGGTTCGGGGTTTGAGGTTATCGGATGTGTTCGTCGGTTCTCGGCGGTTTTGTAGACTCGGATGCTTTCCAGCGGCTGCGCCTCGCCGAGAGCGTTCCGGGGGGGTCCGCATCGTCCCGAACGGCCGCCGGCGGTCCGAGTTCTGACCCGACGGCCACAAAGGGATAGGCCGTGGGGTGGAGGCATCGCCGCCGATAGGGGCCCGATAGCCCACCCTGGGGCCCACCCCGCCAAGGACCGCGCGGGCTTGCTGTCGAGGGCCTACCGCCGATCCATCGGCGATGTGTCACCGAGTCCAGGGCGACGTTTCCCCCCTTGAGCCTTGAGCCGCCGGTCCTCCCGTAACGTTCCCCCTCCTCCTGAGAAAGAGGGGTCCTGGAGGGTTGGGTGTCTGCTCTCGAGCTCCCACGGGCCCCAGGGTTGTCAAGAGACGACGCAGGAGGGCGTCCTGGTTCTAGGACAGGCCCCAGGGGTCCAGGGCCCGCTTTTCACTGGGCCCGTTTCGCTCATGGTTCACTGCGTGTGATTGGCTGCCGCGCTTCTCTCCTACCCCCTCTCCTCTCTCTCTCTCTCCTGCTTTCCCTCCCCTCGCTCTTTCTCTCCCCCGTTTCTCTCCCCCTCTCTCTCCCCCTGCTACTGTTAGGAGCGTTTGCTTGGGGCGTCGATCCGCTGGTTGTGGCCCACCATGCTCAGGCACGACACGCTAAGCACGTCCCAGTCCCCAAGCGTCCACGTTGCGAGTTTTTCCCGGGTCGGTGTACGGTCGGTTCGTGTCGTGTCGACGCGGCGGCGGTCTCAATGCGAGCGTTCAAGTTGTAACGCCGCCGGTGGCCCAGAATCGGCCGTCATCGAACGATATCCCCCTATCGGGAAGCTACGTTCATTCGAGGCTGAACGATCCACGTGGTTTCAGCATGCGTACAGCGCCCAAGTCGTCACAACGCAAAGCTGTCGTACTTTGGCTCGTCCTCTTTCCTCCCTCCACCTTCTCCTCTTCCGCCTGTTTTCCATCCTCTCCCTCCTACCCTCCACTTCATTTGCCCCAGCAGACGGGGCGCATGGGACGGCATCAGACGGTCTCCCAGGCCCCAGCGCCATTCGAAAGAATCACGCCCGAGGTTTCGTTGCCCCAGAGCTCTTCGCTTTGTGTGTGTTTGTAGAAAGTATATAAGGGTCTTCGGCCCATCCCGCCACTGGGTTGTGGGTGTGAGGCTTTGTGGACATTCGTTGGGATCTCGTTCGAGGCCTCTCGGGGGCCTCTCGGAGCCAGATTTGATGCACCTGGGGAGCCGTTTTGGGGTTCCTGGGGGCCTCTTGGGGCGCTCTTGAGTGCTGGGCCTCCTCGGGCCCACTCGGGGCGGACGGGTCGAATTTTCGGTTCGTGGTCCTTCTCTGGGCCCCCTCTTTGGACCGTCTTGGGCGCCTCTTGGGGCCGTCTTGGGGCCGTCTCGAGCCGTCTCCCAGCCGTCTTGGGAGCCTCTTGGGCCGTCTTGGGGAGGGAGAGGAGGAGGAGGGGGAGAAGGAGGAGGAGGAGGAGGAGGAGGAGGAGGAGGAGGAGGGGAGGGAGGAGGAGAAGGAGGAGGAGGAGGAGGAGGAGGAGGGGGAGGAGGAGGAGGAGGAGGAGAGGAGGAGGAGGAGGAGGAGAGGAGGAGGAGGAGGAGGAGGAGGGAGGAGGAGGGAGAGGAGGAAGGAGGAGGAGGAGGAGGGGAGGAGGAGGAGAGGAGGAGGGAGGGGAGGAGGAGGAGGAGGAGGAGGAGGAGGGGGAGGAGCAGGAGGAGGAGGAGGAGGAAGGGGAGGAGGAGGAGGAGGAAGGAGGAGGAGGAGGAGGAGGAGGAGGAGGAGGAGGAGGAGGAGGAGGAGGAGGAGGAGGAGGAGGAGGAGGAGGAGGAGGTAGGAGTCTTGGACCGTCTTGGAGCGTCGGAGGCCGAATAGGCGAAATGGCCAACAACCTCCTTCAACGAAAGGCAAATCCATGATTTTGGCCTCTGGTGACGTTCTTGGGAGGCTTCGAGGCCTCTTGGGCCTTCTTGGGAGCCTCTCAGGCCGTCTTGGGGCTATATCTTGGGCGTCCTGGAGCGATCGTCCGGCGACTCCGGGCCGTGTTGGACCGTCTTGGGGGCCTCTTTTGGCCCCTCTTGGGGCCATCTTGGGCCCGAACGAGTCACGCGAGAAGACGATCCAAGGCCCAGGGTGTACGCGGCATGCCCCATGAGAGTTGTGAATTCGGGGTCCGGGCCCCTTAAGAACCCTGAGGGTCGAGGCTCAGGGGATAGGCACTGGACCTGAGACCGCGCCCACTCCGTGCCCCGAGGCACGTTGGCGGATTTGTTGCTCATCAATCCTCTCGCCTCTGCCCCTCCTCGCTGCCACCTTCTGAAGCCGTCTGCGTCCCCTCTCAACCGCCGCCTTCTCGCTTCCTCTTAGCTTCCTCTTCGTTTCTTCCTTGCTTTCCCTCCTTGGGCGCTGCCAGCTGCGCAACTGTCACCACTCATGTGAGCGCCTGGGAGGTCTGGCAGAGTGCGATCCTGCGCGGAGCCAAGCTATGACTCGCCTCCCTGTGCGCTGCCTGCTGCGAAGCTGTTGGCACTCTCGGAAGATCCTGGGAGGTTCAGCGGAGTGCGGTCCCACGTGGGTCCAGGCTGTTGCTCGCCTCCCTGTGCGCTGCTAACCGCGCATTTGTCGACACGTTCGGGAGCTCCCGGAGAGAGCCAGCGGAGCAGGTCCGAACCATAAATGCCCATGGTCGGCCCCGCCGCTGTGCCAGCGCAGCAGCGCAGCCGGAAGGAGGTCAGGTTGAGCGTATGACCAGCTCCAAGTCGATGCCTCGTTTGAGCTGTCGTTGGCCCTCCTTGCCCTCAGCCTCGCCCTCCGCTGTCGACCTCATTCGTCTTCTTGTTCCCCTCTTGAAGGCATCTCTGGCCCTCTGCCGGAATCGCCGATCCTCGATCCTCTCCCCGCCCTCCTCGGCCAGGAGCGGCTCGAGGACCTCTTCGACGACCGCGACGTGGACCACTCGGGCTCCCTGGCCATGGACGCCTGCTGCGACCTCGTGCGGGTCTTCGCGGGCTCCCGCGCGGACGCCGCGACCGTCAGGTTCGGGCCGTCGTCGTCGTCGTCGTCGTCGTCGTCGTCGTCGTCGTCGTCGTCGTCGTCGTCCTGTTCCTCTTCCCCCTCGGAGGAGGAGTAGGAGAAGGAGGAGGAGGAGGAGGAGGAGGGGAGATGGAGGAGGAGGAGGAGGAGGAGAAGGAGGACAACGAGGAGCAGTAGGGACGAGGAGTGCTCACGGGAGGGAACAGACCATATACAGTTGTGAGTGCCACCAGTGTGAATATCTTCTTCGGTGGCGCTCCTCATAGGGCCGCGAACCCTGTAAGGGGTGTGCCGACATGGGTGCAGCAGATGCATGCGGACGGTGGCACTGGGACCTTCGGTGGAGCTCCCTATGGGGTCACGAAACGTGTGAGGGGGGTGTCGAAATGGGTGTGGGGGACGCATGTAGACGGTGGCACTGGGGCCTTCGGTGGAGCTCCCTGTGTGGCCACGAAACGTGTGAGGGGTGTGCCTACCTGCGTGTGGGGGACGCATGTGGACGGTGGCACTGGGGCCTTCGGTGGAACTCCCTGTGGGGCCACGAAGCATGTGAGGGGTGTGCCGAAAGGGGTGGGGGGGACGCATGCGGGCGCAGCCACTGGGGCCTTCGGTGGAGCTCCCTATGGGCCACGAAGCGTGTGTTGGGGTGTGCCGGATTGTGTGTGTGTATGTGTGTGTGTATGTGTGTATGTGTATGGTGTGTGTGTGTGTGGGGGGGGGGGGGGACGCATGCGGGCGCAGCCACTGGGGCCTTCGGTGGAGCTCTGTATGGACCTCGAAACGTGTGAGGGGTGTGCCGAAAGGGGTTTGGAGGACGCATGCGGGCGCAGCCACTGGGGCCTTCGGTGGAACTCCCTGTGGGGCCACGAAGCGTGTGTGGGGTGTGCCGAAAGGGGTGTGGGGGACGCATGCGAGCGCAGCCACTGGGGCCTTTCGGTGGAGCTCCCTGTGGGCCACGAAACGTGTGAGGGGGGTGTCGAAACGGGTGTGGGGGACGCATGTAGACGGTGGCACTGGGGCCTTCGGTGGAACTCCCTGTGGGGCCACGAAGCATGTGAGGGGTGTGCCTACCTGGGTGTGGGGGATGCATGTGGACGGTGGCACTGGGGCCTTCGGTGGAACTCCCTGTGGGGCCACGAAGCATGTGAGGGGTGTGCCTACCTGGGTGTGGGGGACGCATGCGGGCGCAGCCACTGGGGCCTTCGGTGGAGCTCCCTATGGGGCCACGAAACGTGTGAGGGGTGTGCCGACATGGGTGTGGGGGACGCATGTGGGCGGTGGCACTGGGGCCTTCGGTGGAGCTCCCTATGGGGCCACGAAGCGTGTGAGGGGTGTGCCGAAATGGGTGTGGGGGACGCATGCGCGCGCAGCCACTGGTGCCTTCGGTGGAGCTCCCTATGGGGCCACGAAACGTGTGCGGGGTGTGCCGACATGGGTGTGGTGACGGGAGGAGGAAGGAGGAGCGGGAGGAGGAAGGAAGGAACGTGGGGATCGTCTCTTCAAAACGAGGCCCAAACACCACAGGATTGTTGGGAAAAAGAAGGGGTGAGTTCTGTGGACGTTCCCAGCAGACTCTCCCCCTGCCTTGTGGTGAGGATCCTGCTCAGTGTCTCCGCTGGGGAGTGGGGGGGGGTGTCCGACAGCCGGCCACCGCCGCGCGTCTGGCAGAGGTCGGCGGGGCCCGGGCAGCTGTATGTGGGAGGGGCCGTTTCGGAGCTCCGAGGCCCCAGAGTGGCCCCACGATGGTATCACGAGTGCCCCGTCAAGCCTCCAAGATGACTTGGGCGGCGAGCGAGGGGGGGGGAAGTGAGAAGTAGAAGGCCTTCTCAGAAGGCGGCGGGACTTCTCAGAAGCCCCTCGCGCCTTCCGAGAGGCGTCCTGTTTCTTCGGGGAAGGCTTAGACAACTTCTCAGAAGGCCAGGGGACTCCCGAGCCTTATGAGAAGGACAGCGCAAACGACACATGAATTGCAAACCAAATTGCAATGCAGAACAAACTGCAAGTCAAGCGCACCTGTTTGCGTGTGGTGGTCGCCGACACGTGCGCTTCAACCCTCCTGAACCTCTCCAAACCTGGCTTGGCGCGCAAGGCAACAACAACTGCTACGCAATGCGCAAACAACTGTTTTCGTGTGGTGGTCGCCGACATGTGCGCCTCACCCCCCCCCCTGAACCTTCCCCAAACCACACGTGGCTGTCACGCGGAACCCCAGGCTCACGCTCGAGAAGCGCCACTACAGCGCAAGCAAAATGCAATGCACAGAAAACTGCAATTCCAAACAAACTGCAATGCACAAGCAGCTGTCTTCGTGTGGCGGTCGCGGACATGTGCGCTTCTACCCTCCATGCGCCTCCCCACGCCACGCTTGGCTCTCACGCGGAACCCTAAGCTTAAGCTCGAGCAGCTAAGGTGAAGCTTAAGTCTCAAGCTTCAAGCTTGCTCTTTTGAAAGCTTGGCGTCCCGCCGTGCGCTACAACGGCAACAGTTTCAGTGCGGTGGTCGTCGAAACGTGCGCTTCAACCCTCCCTGAAATCCCCCAACCACGCTTAACTCTTACGCGGGATCCTGAGCTCAAGCTCGAGCAGTGCCACTGCAGCGCAAGCAAAAATGCAATGCACCAAACATACAAAGCAAAAACACCTGTAATGCAAAACAACTGTTATGCAACAACAACCGTTTCGTGTGGTGGTCCCCGACATGTGCGCTTTACCCCTCGCCGGAACCTTCCCAAGCCACGCTTGGCTCTCACTTGGAATCCCAAGCTCAAGCTCGAGCAGCGCCACTACAGCGCAAGAAAAAACGCAGCAATTCGACAACAAGTGCAATGCATCAACAACTGCCATACACACATCTGTTTTCGTTTGGTGGTCGCCGACATGTGCGCTTCAACCTTCTCTGTACCTCCCCAGACCATGCTTGGCTCGCACGCGGAATCCGAAGCTCAAGCTCGAGCAGCTAAGGTGAAGCTTAAGGCGCAATATTTAGGCTTGCTCGTTTGAAGCTTGGCGTTCCGCCGTGCGCTACAACGGCTAGAATTGTATCGGTACGTTTTTGTCCCTCCCCATGTTGTCTCCCCCCTACCCCCCTGGCCTCCTGCCCTCAGTATATCTTCCTCGATGTTGCAGCCTTTGGGCCGTCTTAGGTTTCGCCAGGGGCCCTGTTGAGGGCCCAGGAGGGCGTCCCAAACCCAACATAGATGTTATACCTATACGACCACCCTGCGGGTGATAAGGAGGGTGGGGGGGGGAGCAATGGGCAAAAGTGGTGATAATTGCTCTGACGACGCCTGTGGTGCGGAGTCTAGTGAGTAGTGTGATTGTGCACGTGAGCGTGATGTCGATGTGCTTTTCGGTCTGCATGTCAGTTTGCATGCAGACTTGCATTGGATAGCTCGCCGCAAGCGGCGATGTTTTGAAATGCGCAACCCACGGCGGGACACCAGCGGGACTCCGCGGGCCACCGTTTGACGAGCATCATTTGGTCCGGCCGCGGCCCAGCGACAGGAGGATTTCGGGACACCCGGGGACACCGGCGGGACGCCGCGCGGCTCGGGCCGCCGGAGAAGAAACATTTAGTCCGGCCGCGGCCCAGCCACAGGAGGATTTCGGGACGCCCGCGGGACTCCGGCGGGACACCGCGGGGCACCGGCCGCCGGAGGAGTTACATTTGGTCCGGCCGCGGCCCAGCCACAGGAGGATCTCCTCTCGCCCGCCCACGCAGCTTCGCCTCGCCCGCACGCACGCACGGCACGCACGACGAACCCCGAACCGAAATCGTTTTACCGGTAGGGGTGGTCTCCGTTTCACGTCGGACTCACCCCCCAACCTCCGATAACCTTCTTCCTTCAGGTAGGTTGTGTTTGACAATTCTGTGTTGATCATGTGACGGTTTTCGGCGCCTGGTCTGCTCCTTCTCTCTGCCCTTCCTCATTATCCCAACTTCTTCTGTTTTGCCCTACCTCCTCCATGCTCCTTCTCTTCTCTTATCTTCTCTTCTCCGCCCCTCTTCCTTCTCTCTACTCTTCCGGCCTTCCCTCCTCTCCCCAAGCCGCCCGCCTTCATTCCCGTCCCATTCTCCTCACTCGTCTTTCCTTGGGCAGGCCACGGGAGCGACGGCTCGGAGCGTCAGACCTCCTCACTCCTGCACCTCCCCTCCTCCAGTCCTCCAATCCTCCCCCTCGCGGTTCTCTCGATCCTTCTCCCCTCCGCCCTCGTAGCAGACAGCACGGGGACCAACATAGGGCGCCCCGCTTTCATCCCCCTCCTGGCCCCTCCCTCTCCAGCAGGTCGTCCCCGCCTGTGCCTCGCGGGTGTGGTTCACGGCTCGAGGCCCCGAGGTGTTCAGCATTCAGTCGGGCTTGTATTTGGAATGTTCAAACATAGTGTAACAAATAGTTTGGGACGATTTGTTGTTTTATCATATTGTATAATCTTTTGTTTTTTTGTGGGGTATTTTTTCCCCAAGAAATCCGCCTGTAGGGGGACATGCCCGACATAAGCTCAGCAATCCGATTCAGGGTGTCGCAGCGGCCCCAACGCTGGTTTCTGGCACCGCTTGGATGGCGAACAGTGGGACACTTAGGCCAGAAGAATTACACCAGAGAACAAAACCCATCAGTGGATGGTTTGAAATGGGATCGATAAAGAGATCGATGGGGAGATCGACCAGGAACCTGGGAACTCGGGAACCCGGAACCCACGAAAATCGGCCCGAAGCCCACTTTCGCAAAATCTTTCAATTTCCGCTAGGACCCCTTCAGTGCAAGCGCTGATTGGGGAACCGCCCTCAAGAGCATGCGACCCTCCGCCGGCCAAACACACACAGAACATCCTATAGGTATATCCTCCCCAGGAAGCGCAAGAGCGTCCAACAGAAACGCGAAGAACACTGGGGCATACCCTCCCTGGACCTACCTCGAACTTTGGTGTCGGTCCGACTGTAGCCCTGCTCGCTGACCACCAGGAGCAGGAGGAGGATCAGGAGGAGGAGGAAGGAGGAAGGGGGAAGGGGGAAGGGGGAAGGGGGAAGGGGGAAGGGGGAAGGGGGAAGGAAGGAGGAGGGAGGGGAGAGGAGGGGGAAGGAGGAAGGAGAAGGAGGAGGAGGAGGAGGAGGGAGAGGAGGAGGGATGGAGGAAGATGAGGAGGAGGAGGAAGGAGGAGGGAGGAAAGAGGAGGAGGGAGAAGAGGAGGAGGAGGAGGAGGAGGAGGAGGGGAGGAGGAGGAGGAGCAGGAGGCGGAGGAGGCCGCCGCCCGACCCCCACGAGCCCGGGCCTGGAAGAGGGCCCGCACGGGGGCGTCAGGGCGGGGGGCGGCGGGCCAGGGGCGGCCCCGCCGGCGGAGGCTGGGCGGAGGCCCGCGGGGGTGGCGGCGGGGCGCCCCGCAGGCCGATTGTCTCGCAGGCCTGGAGGCTGACACCAGCACCGATATCGGCGGTGTACTTCCACCGAGGAGGAGGAGGAGGAGGAGGAGGAGGAGGAGGAGGGAGGAGGAGGAGGAGGAGGAGGAGGAGGAGGAGGAGGGAGGAGGAGGAGGAGGCAGGAGGAGGAGGAGGAGGAGGAGAGGAGGAGGAGGGGGAGGGGGTGGAGGGCGGGGAAAGGTGGGAGGACGGAGGCTGGAGGAGGTCCTCCTCGTCCTCCTCGTCCTCCTCGTCCTCCTCGTCCTCCTCGTCCTCCTCCTCCTCCTCCTCCTCCTCCTCCTCCTCCTCCTTCTCCTCATCCCCCTCGTCCTCCAGCCGATTGTCTCGCAGGCCTGGCGGCTGACTGGGAGGCCTGGAGGCTGACTGCTCGAAATCTCAGTTGGAACTCCCCCTCTCGGACTCCTCTCGGGGCCCTCTTGGACCGCCTTGGGGCTCTCCTGGGCCGACCTGGGGCTCTCTTGGAGGCCTCTTGGGCCGTCTTGGGGCGATGTGTGGGGCCTCTCGGGCCGTTCTCAAGCCTGTTAAGACCCAAATTGGGAATATTCAAAAAATGCATCGCCTCACTAAGGCCACATGCGAACCCTACCCCTGCCCCCCACGACTTCCGAGGGGGAGGGGGGGGGGGGTCATGTCGCTCGGGAGCTCCCGAGCGAAGTGAACCCCACCCTCCCCTTCAGGAATCGTGGAGGCTGACACCAGCACCAAGATCGGCGGTGTACTTCCACCGAGGGTCGGGCCGGGCGAAAGGGGGAGATTGGGACAGGGGCGATTACGAAATCTGCTGCGTGCAGCTGGTTTCGGCCCCGCCGAGGGGCCCGTGCCTCGGTACATGGCCGCCTTTCCTGGCGCCGGGAGGCGCCGGGAGAATCAGCTACGTGAGCTGATTTTCAAAACCCCCCCTTTGCTATCCCCCCCTTTCACCCGACCCGACTGGAGGTTGACACCAGCACCAATTTTCGGCGGTGTGCTTCCATCGAGGGGAGAAGATCCCGATCTCGGCTCGGTGACGGCGGACGACGACCCTGGGATTTAGTCGGGCCTGTCTCTCTACAGCAGGAGTATGCAAAGATGTGCAACAAAAATAGTCTGGGGACGATGTTTGGACCATTTTCTTCTTTGTGGGCATTTTTGGGTCTTTTTATTTTTCCGTCTAGAATCCGCCTGTAGGAGGACACGCCCGACCTGAACCCTTGGATCCTGGCATCTCGCAGGGACCCTCACAGATCGATCGGGCTCGAACAAAAAAGGACGCAGAACGTCGGGGCCTAGGGCTCCAGTCGCGCGTGTTGTTACCATGCTTTCATTGCTTTCGCGCCGTCTGATCTCAGGGGCATGGTCATGCCGTTTCCGTCTCGCACGGATGCAGGGAGCAGGCGGCGCGGGGATCCGTCGCGACTCACGCAGATGGGCCCCGCAGGGCACCGAAGCAGGCCTCGGGGCAGCAGGTGCTCGAGAGGCACCGCGACTGGTGGAACCCAGCGCACGGCCTTCGTGGCAGTGCAGCAGAAGCTCGAGTTGAGACGCCAGTGCTCTCAGGCTGCACGCGGGAGTCACATTACAGCAGGCTCGTGTCGTGGCGACCCTGGCATTGGTTTCTGGCACAGCATGGACGGTTCAGCCTTGAACGATCGACGGCTCTTCGATCGCTGGATCGTTCCGTATTGGCCGAATCTGTGCCATCGGCGGCGGTCAATTTTGAACGCCCGCAGCCGTCGGCGTCGGCGTCGGCGTCGGCGTCAGCGTCGTCGTCGGTGGCGTCGTGGTCTCCGCCGTCGTCGTCGTCGTCGTCGCAGCCGCCGCCGCCGCCGCTGCCGCCGCCACCGCTGCCGCCGCTGCCGCCGCTGCCGCCGTCGTCGTCGTCGTCGTCGTCGTCGTCTGAGTCTGAGTCTGAGTCTGAGTCTGAGTCTGATTCTGAGTCTGAGTCTGAGTCTGAGTCTGAGTCGTCGTTGTTGTCTTCGTCGTCGCGGACGTCGGGGTCGCAGTCGCGTCGACACGACGCGAATCTGCCGTGAGGTGTTCCGCCATCGGGGGGCGACTGTCCGAGTGCGGCTTGGGGAGTTCACACCCCTGCGGTGGCGCGTCGGGGTGCAGGCTTTCCGGCCGTCCTGGAGCAGGCTTCGCGGCCCCGATGGCGGGAGGGTGTATTTTGACAGGGCGGCACCAGTTCAGGCTGAGGGCACCGGTGCGCGGCGCGTCGGGTTGCAGACCTTCCGGCCGCCCTGGAAGAGGCGCCCCCGACGGCGGGAGGGTGTTTCTCTGCCAACACGTCAGGCTGAGGACAGCGGTGCTGGCTTTGAGGAGGAGGAGGAGGAGGAGGAGGAGGAGGAGGAGGAGGAGGAGGAGGAGGAGGAGGAGGACGGAGGAGGAGGAGGAGGAGGAGAGGAGGAGGAGGAGGAGGAGGAGGAGGAGGAGGAGGAGGAGGAGAAGGAGGAGGAGGAGGGGGAGTCTGGGCTGGGGCCCCAGCCCAGGCCCGTGGGTTCGGGTCGGACGACAGGGGAGGGGTGTGACGGGGAAGGGGAGGGGCCTGCGAAGTGCTGCGGCACGCAGCCGGTCTCAGCCCCGCCGCCCGGCGCTCTCCTCGATGCCTGTGGCGCCTCCGAGGCTGAGAGAGGCCCCAGGAGGAGCAGCTGCGTGAGCTGATGCGCTAGCCATCCCCCTCGTAGCCCCCCTTCCGAGTGTCGCCCTCGCGCCTGGGCTTGGCGCCGGCGTTGCCCTCGGGGCCGGGGCTGGGGGCCTCGGCCCAGGCATGCGGTGAAGAGGTTTTCGCACGACGTGGGCCTGGGCAGCCCTCGCCGCCATCCCGCGGGGAATCTCTTCCACGGGGCCCGGAGGTGGCGCCCAGCCGCGAAGTTGGCCGCACCACAGGTTCTTTGCTACCTCCACCGATCGACCTCCAGCGTCCACCAGCTCAGCACTCCGACCTCCAGCCCCTAGCATCCGACTCTCCACTTTTCAACTCCACCGATCGACCTGCAACGTTCACCAGCTCAACATTACGACCTCCAACCTCCAGCATGCGACTTTCCGCTTCCACCTCCACCGATCGACCTCCCAACCTCCACCAGTTCAGCATTCCAGCCTCCAACCTCCAGCATCTGACTTTCCACTTCCCCCTCCACTAATCGACCTCCAGCGTCCACCAGGTCAACACTCCGACTTGCAATCTCCATCACCCGACTCTCCACCTCCACTTCCACCTATCGACCTCCGACGATCACCAGCTCAACATTAAGGCCTCCAACCTCCAGCATCCAACTCTCCACTTCAAGCTCGACCAATCGACCTCCAGCGTCCACCAGCTCAGCGCTCCGACCACAAACGTCGAGCACCCGATGTTCGATCCACCTCCACCTATCGACCTCCAGCGTCCAAAAGCCCCGCATTCCGACCTCCAGCATCTAGCTTTCGACTCTCCATTCCACCTCTTTTTATCGCCTCCCGACGCCCACCAAATCAGCATTCCAACAACCAACTTTTAGCATCCAACTCTCGACTTCTACCTCCACCAATCGACCTCCACCCTCCACCAGCACAACATCCCGACCTCGAATTTCTAACCTCCGACTTCCGTTTCCACCGCCAATCGACCTCCAGCTTATGTGCCTTCGGCTGCGCGTGTATCTGCGCCCTGAGTGGTATCTGAAGGGTGTGACTGGATTGGAATTCCGAGGCGTCCAACTCGTTCGTGTTTGGCTTGGGCTTCGCGGTTAGTGCCGTTTTAAATACATGCTCCGCGTGCGGATCATGTATTAAAAATGCAGGGATCTAGTATTAACAACAACGATGAGTTCATGCATACATTCATTCATACATTAATCATGTACCAAATTCCTATATGTTTACAATCCCATGTATTTAAAAACTGCCCTGTACAGAAAATTGACGATGACATCCACGGGATTCTTCGACAGGTTCATGCCACAGACACTACGACTTCGACGAAACTACGTCACTACATCGGATTACAACAGAGGAGTGGGAACACTTGGAACATCAACATGTGAGGTATGCATTATCCTGAGCAAGCCTCCGACGCGCGCTGCCTCTCATGCGAGGCCATGGCCTTACCCGCCTCGCCCTTCAGGGGCCCGGGTGCATGCCCGCACAGGCGATCCGATCCGATCCGATCTGGCGTCTTGTTCTTCCGTGGGCCCCAGACCTATTGACGCCTTTCACGAGGATCGATGTTCATCCTGTGCTTCTGTTGCCCGGCTCTGTTTTTTCAAGCATGTACGTGCTGTGTTTGTTCCAAGACGACTGCCCAGGGGATCGTGTTTTTTTGCATGGGTCGGCGAAGACGACGCCGAAAGACGTTCGACGACAGTCGACCGACGACGCAGACGACGCCAGCAGCGCCAGGGAGCACGCGGCGGTCATGTTCGCCGAGTCTCCTCCCGAGGAGCCCCGCCAGAGGGCCAGGGGGGGCGACGGAGGGGAGGCTCCCGCACCATGTCTCCTGCCCCCCCCTCATCATCCTCATCCTCATCCTCATCATCAGCAGCAGCATCAGCAGCATCATCCTCACCATCATCCTCATCCACATCATCATTTCCACCACCATAAGCATAGTTAGCATTGCCATCATCAGCGTCACCATCATCGTTTTCATCATCAAAACCAACCACCGCCACCATCATCATCATCATCATCATCATCATCATCATCATCATCATCATCATCATCAGCATCAGCATCAGCTTCAGCATCAGCATCAGCATCAGCATCATGATCATCAACATCGTCATCATCATCGTCATCCTTCTCCTCCTTCTCCTCGTCGTCGCGTGGTTGTCGTCCTTGTTCAGCCGTTCTCTTCGCCTTCTCTCGAGCCTCCTCCAGATCTCCTGATCCTCAGCTTCAGTGACCCCTTTCTGGCTGTCGTCACGTAGTCCATGTTCGTGGTTGATCGATCTTACGGTTCTTCGGGGGTCACTTGTTCCGCCATGGCATGAAGCAATGTTTCTTGTGTTTGGGAGCGGCCGCTGTGATCAACAGCGGGCAGGGCAAGTTGCGGCAGTAGGGAGGCCATACCCCATAGTCATATTGTATTGCAACCTTTGCGTGCAGGATTCAATTTTATAGTTTGATGTGTGTAGAAGCATAATAGTTGTAGGCGCGTATTGTTTGTCTGGCGGGTGTCATACCGCACCGTATTAACAACCGTGAGCGCACGTAATTCCTGCGACTGACAACCAGTGGCCTGACACAATGAACGTGCCGCGGTGAACGCCCCTGGTCACGAACGGGCCAGGACGCGCGACGTACACGAATCACGCCCGCGCGAAACTGCAAGGAGGGAGAACGAGAGAGAGAGAGAGAGAGACAGTGAGAGAGAGAGAGAGAGAGAGACACCCACACACACACACACACACACACCCACACACATCAACACCCGTGCCTGTCTCAAGAAACGTCATGCTGGCCAGAGTCCGCTAAGGATTGCTTCTTCAGCATGAAGAACTTAGATCCGCAAAGTTTGTGGGATATTTAGGGGGTGAGATGTTTGACTAGGTGAGTTCGCCTTCGTTAGTTGACGCCAAGGTTCGGGCGCGGCTCGCTCTGGCAGTCCTGTTAGGCGACAGCCAGCAAATCTGCGCGATATCGGAACCCGTGCGCTCGGTGACAATCTAGTGTTGGAGCGCGCGCCGTGGGTTACTGGCAGATGTGACGTATCGCCCCCGATGCATTAACGTGCCCGAGACATTTCGCTACATGCTCACTGGCATGCCCATGCGCACTGTGGCTGTAGGGAAACGTGTCCCGCGTTTCTTCTCTCCCGCTTTCGACCCCCAGGGCGTCTGTAGGAGAACGATTCGGAACACGAAGCTGATCTTGGGGAAAGCCAGATAACGTTTCCTTCAGGGTCCCTTGCTGAGGATCGGCCCCCGCAGAGTCCCCCCGATCACCGCCCAGCCCGCGGACGACTTGAGTGCACCGAACCGCGTTGGCGTCTCCCCAGGCGTCATCCATGCTCGACCTAGGAATGGCGTCGGTCAGTCTTTCGGCCCTCAGGGCCGAACAGCTATGCACCGTGCCATGTTGGAGCGGGGACCGAAGGGAGTCCAGACATGGTGCGGTGCATGGCCCCGCTCTCGCGGCCTTGGCCTGCCCGTCGAGCCGCGCGCTCCACTTCCCGCTGCTGCTTCTCCTCCCCCGCCTCCCGGTGGAATCATCTATGCAGAGAGGCGTCAATGCGATCACCTGTGCAAGCAAAGGCGCACCAGCGAGACACTCTTACTTAGGACACTGGTGCGGTAGCGGGGAAGACGAGCTCCACCTCTCTGGCGTTGTGGTGTCTTTCGCTCCCTCCTTCTCCTGAGGAACATGGTCTGCGCCGGGTGAGCATGGAGGTCCTGCGCGGCGCGAAGAACAACAGACCAGGCTTGCCAGGGCAAGGGACAGGATGTTCCCCTTCTCCATCCTCCCTTCCCCTTATCCTTATCCTCCTCCTCCTCCTTCTCCTCCTTCCTCCTTATCCTCCTCCTCCTCCCTTCTCCTTATCCTTATCCTCCATCTCCTTATCCTGCAGGGTGATGCCGGGAATTGTTCTGCCGTCGCTTGGAGGGGCCCAGGGGGGTGCAGCTTCCATTCGTCTGGACTCTGTCCGGGCCGCTCGGTTGTGAATCTCAGCTCGGCAGGTGGCACCTTCAGCTCCGTCGCGAAGGCGGCCGCTGGCAGGAAGTCTCAGCTGCCAGAGCCACCACGAGTCCTCAACAGTGAGCAGCTGGGCAGGCTGGTGGACGAGGTGTGCGAGGCCCGCGGGTGACCCGGTGTGAATCGTCGCCAGGAGGATGGGAATCCGGAGGGAAAGGTGTCCTGAGGTGTTTCACCGTTTTTGGCCTCCCTGGGCCCTTCACAGGCCCTGGGGCTGGCAACAAAGACGCTCAGGATGAGCAGCTGGCCCTTGGGAGAAAGTTGGCCAGGCCCGTGCAGCCACCTGTCCGAGTCGATTCGATTTTGCCCGACAGAGCGTTCTCTCTCGAGAGAGGCGTTTGATTTGAGCCAGGGCTCCTCAGTGCAGTTCACAGGGAGACAGGCGCGCACTCCTCTTTCACCCCCCTGGCACAGATTTGCCCCTGCTCTCCTCTCCTCTCCCGCCCTCCCCCTCTATAGGAGGAAGGGGAGGAACTCAACCGAGGAACAGATACCGATGCAGCTGCTGGTTCTGGCGAGCCCTCTTCCGCTCTGACCCCACCTGCTCTGACCCCATCTCGAAGGCCTCTACGAACGGAGCGCGTTGCATGTCGCAGGCAGGGGTGGTAGTTTCATGCAGCGGCCGTGCGGATGCCGGACGAGCTCCGCCCGAGTAGCGATGATGACGAAATAGCAAGATCTGTGCCCATGACGGCCCACATCGTTGCGTTAGGGGCGCGAGATTCCCTGTACGACCACCCCTCGGGTGATAAGGAGGTTTGGGAGTGGGGGAGAACCGACGTCTCGCTCAATCGATCTCAGCATCGATCTCACTACCGATCTTACTATCAATATCACCCGATTGATATCACAATCAATCTCACCATCGATCTCACAAGTGATTTCATGATCGATCTCACAATCGAACCCACTGTCGGTTTCACAATCGATCTCACCATCGATCCCACCATTGATCTCACTATTGATCTCACTATCGATCTCACTCGGTCGATCTCACAATCTATCTCACTATCGATCTCACTATCGATATTGTTATCCTTCTCACTGTCGACCTCACAATCGATGCCACTGCCGGTCTCATAATCGATATCGCAATGGACATCGATCGATTTTGTTATCGACCTCACAATCGGTCCCACTATCGATCTCGCAAACAATCTCACTATCGGTCTTGCAATCGATCTCAATATCAATAGCACAATCGATTTGACAATCGATCCCATTATTGATGCTTCAATCGATCTTACAGTCGATATCACTATCGATATCACAATCGATCTCACTATCGCGTTCCCACTAACGATCTCACAGTCGATTTCACGATTGATCTCACTATCGATCTCACAGTCGATCTCATTTTCCCTCTCACGATCGATCTCACAATCAATATCACCTTCGATCTCACTATCGATCCCACGATCGATCACACTATCGATCTCACTATCGACCTGACTATCGATCTCACTATCGATCCCACTCGATCGATCCCACTATATATTTCACTATCGATCTCACAATCGATCGTGCTATCCTTCTCATTGTATATCTCACTATCGATCTCACTCTCGTTCTCACTATCGACCTCACGGAACAGCACTGGACATCCACGGGACACCACGGGCCACCGCGGGACAGCACGGGTCAGCATGGGACACCACCGGACACCATAGGGACACCACGGCGGGACACCGCCCGCCACCGCCGGACCACCGGGGGGGCGGTCTTTTGGCCCGGCGGCGCCCTGGTCAGAGTAGGGCTCATTCCTCTCGCCCGCCCTCTCAGCTTCGCCCCGCCCGCACGCACGACACGAACACGAAAGCGAAAGCGATTTCCCGGTGGAGGGTTCTCCGTTTCATTGCAATGCCCCCGCCATCCGACGTTGAGCCGCTGTCCTTGCTGCGTCTTCGCCTCTCCTTTGGCGCGAGCCTCTTCTCTGGCGAGGCGACAGGAGCCAACGAGGCTCAGGGGCCACTCCTCGCCAGAGAGCGTGGGATGCAGCTGTGCGTTCGTTGCTTTGCTTTCCACCCCGCCCACCCTGAGACCCCCCCCCCCCCCACCCTGACCTTTTTTAGCACTGGAAACCTAAAAACCTAAAAAACGAGACGAAACAGCCTAAAACCAAGAGGTAAAATAGCTCTGGGATAGGTTTGTACGTCGGGTGCTATTTTTTAGCCCTCCTGGAAGGTCAGGGCAGAGGCCTCTGGACGCCGGCGCTCGAAAGCGGCTCAAAGCGCCAAACGCGGGGGTCTCCTCGGGCCGACCGGCGCCCTCTCGAGGCCGCGGTGAAGCCCGTGGGCGGGGGACGCTGGCGTTGTTACCTCGGCCCTGGTGGCGAGAGGAGCGCCACACGCAGGAGCTTCCAGCCGTCATTTCCGCCCCGCCGTCCGGAAGTTCAGAACTGCAAGCCAGCGCACGGGGCGTCCACCTGGTGCCCGCGGCCCCACACAGGCCCCAAATCTGGAGCTGCCAACGGATCCCTTGCAGACTCAAGCGAGGACTCCTGGTGCTGGTGCAGGCAGTGTTCGGGGAATCCGAGCATGCAGGAACTTCCCAACGTCTGCAGGTCCGCCCCCTTCTCTCTCCGACTATAGGTGCAGTGGCGCGCACGCGAAGTGCGCCAGTGGCGATGGTGGTTGAGTTGCTCCACTGATCGCGGTCGACTCCTGCGTCCTTCCTCCATCTCCGGACCTCTGTGCTCCTGCAGGGGTCAGAAAGTCCCCTCGCGTCAGCGGCGGCCGCGTAACCGATGCCTAGCAAACTGACCCCCTCGACGACAAGCTCCCCGCCTCGCTCCAAGACGTGGGCAGCCGACAGGAGAGGGACCCGAGGGCGAGGGGTCAGTTCGGCCGCACACGATACGATCACCTTGGTTGCAACCCCTGGGAGGTTAATTTTCAGCATCGGCGGTTGCACATTCTTGGTCGAAACCTGTTTTAGTCTCCGAAGCATCCCGCTTGGTCTGGCTTTACTCCTGTCCTTAATCTGGGCGAATCCTCGGCTTAATCGGGGCCAATCTTGCCTACTGGGCCTCTTACTCGGGATTCATACAGTCAACTTGCACAGTGAGGATGAGCAATTTTCCAAGATTGCCCTTGCATCCTTCCCCTTCGGCCCATCCTTGGCCGCTCTCGCTGGCCGCGCCCCGCTCGCAAAGTGTCGGCGTGGCCTTCCAAGGCCCTTCCATCCTTATCGCGCATCCTTATCATACGGGTTGACTGTAGCCCTTGCGCGCCCTTGCAAAGATCTCTCAGAAATCGCTCCCCTCACGCCCGCGCAGGCCACGCGGCGCAGGTGCCACCAGCAGGAGCGCCACCTCCAGGCGCAGGCGCACCTCGACGGCGCCACCTTCGCGGCGACACGGCCCGACCTGCCGCTGCTCCAGAGGATCTACCAGCGCCACGCGGGGAGGGACGCGGACCAAGAGGACTCCCCTCGACGAAGAGAAAACGCCACAACCATATACTTTTGGCGCGCCGCGCGGATTTCTTGGCTCCGCGTTGGGCCCTCCTCCCTTGCGCGCGGGGCGCGCCAGGGGAGGCGCCAGAGGCGCCGCCGGGGGGTGGGCCCAGCGCGGATCCGAGCAATCCGCGCGGAGCGCCCACAGCTTACGTTTATGGCGTTGTGTCCTCTTCTGCTGTAGCCATGAGGCACCGATGCCACTGCTCGTCGTGGAGGGTCCTCGTCGTCACGACGGCGTCCAGCCCGAGGTGCTGGTCAGAGCGCACCCCGGAAGAGGTCCATGGGAGCAGCGGTGCCGGCGCCTTTCTCGATGTCCCCCCATCGAGGAGGCCTCCGCCGGCCTGACGGTGGACGGGTGCCTCCAGGCGAGCGCCCCCGAGACGCCTGGGCCCGTGTCCTCCGTCCACGTCCCCTTCTCTAGGCCTCACAGGTGGGGTCCGCGTAGAGGGGGTCGAAGGATCGCGCCGCATCGCCGATGCATCGGCGATGCGGCTCGATGTGGAGCCCGTGTGTCCCCACACGGCGTCGCCGACGCATCGCCGATGCGTCGCCGATGCATCGCCGATGCATCGTCGATGCATCGGCGACGCATTGGCGATGCGGCGGGATCCTCCGACCTCATCTACTCGGACCCCATCCGGGAGGCCTCCACCTTCTCCCCATTGCTCCCCCCTGGCCCGGAGTGCTCATCCCCCGTCCTGCCCCTTCCGTCGCCCCGCCCCGTTAAAACGACGCGAAGGTCGGGACAAAATCGGATCGGGATAACTCGGAATCTCTGAGAATCGGCGGGTTTGGAGGATGTCTTGGGCGCCGCGGCCGCTCCAGAGCGTTCCGGAACGCTCTGAGAGCGCTCCGGAACGCTCTGGGGCGATTTATCCCGATCCTAGCCCTGTTTTACCCGTCCTTGCTCGGCCCCCCCTCTTCCCGTTGCACCCCCCCCCTCTACCCTGACCTTCCAGAGAGCTATTTTATAGCACTGGAAGCCTAAAAACCTAAAAAACGAGACGAAACAGCCTAAAACCAAGACGTAAGATAGCTCTGTGCTATTTTTTAGCCCTCCTGGAAGGTCAGGGTACTCCTCCCTTCGGCCCTCCCCCCGCCCGCCCGCCGCCCGACTCCCGCCTGCGGCCCGATGGGGCGCGCGGGAGCAGCCGACGGGGGCCCACTCTGCCCCGGCCCGAGGTGCTGCTGGAGTTCGGGCTCCGCGGCTCAGGACCGAAGGAGGAGGAGGGGGAGCAGGAGGAGGAGGAGGAGGAGGAGGAGGAGGAGGAGGAGGAGGGGAGGAGGAGGAGGAGGAGAGGAGAGGAGGAGGAGGAGGAGGAGGAGGAGGAGGATGAGGAGGAGAGAGAGGAGGAGGAGGAGACGAGGAGGGGGAGGAGGAGGAGGAGGAGGAGGAGGAGGAGGAGGAGGAGGAGGAGGAGCGGTGGGGGTTGGGGTGCTGGGGACGGGGTGGGTTCGCCCAGGGTGTGAGGTTAGTGGCCGAATCCGCCTGGAAATCAGGCCTTCCTTCATCCGGGGGTCGTCCAAGTGCTTTTCCTCTGACCTCGCATCTGGCCCTACACTACCTTTCCGAACACCCGAATGAGCGGGGGGGGGAGGGGGGACCTCCTCCTCCTCCCTCCTCCTCCCCCTCCCTCCTCCTCCTCCTCCTCCTCCTCCTGCTGCTGCTGCTGCAGCTGCTGCTGCTGCTCCTCCTCCTCCTCCTCCTCCTCCTCGTCCTCCTCCTCCTCAAAGCATATGATGCTCGCCTCTCCAGGCGTCACTCACCAGGGTCTCAAGCGTTCCAGTTCAGTCCAGTCCAGTCCTCCTCACGAGGACTATAGCCTGCCTACCTCCGTCCCTCCCTCCCTCCCTCACTCCTCTCTCTCTCTCTCTCTTGCTCTCTATCACTCTCTATCCATCCCCCCCGCCGCCGCCCATCCTCCTAGAGAGAGGATGCGGGGGAAGAGCGGGAGAACGAAAGGAAAGACGAGCGCAAGGACGAGGGTGGGGGCGAGGGCAAGAACGAAAGCAACAGCAAAGAGGAGGATGATAGTTTCGAAGTGCTTCTGGAGGGAGGGAAGTGAAGAGCGGCGTTGAGCAAATGAGGAGGAGGAGGAGGAGAAAGAGGAGGAGGAGGAAGAGAAGGAAATGGAGGACGAGGAGGAGGGGGAGAACGAGTGATGATGCTGCTGATGATGGTGATGATGATGATGCTGCTGATGATGGTGATGATGATGATAAGACAGATGCTAATGATAGAAGATGAATATGACGAAGCTGCACATTAATATGATGATGATGGTGGCGATGGTGATGATGCTATGCTGTCGATGGTGATGCTGATGCTGATGCTGATGATGGTGATGTTGACGATGACGATGACGATGATGGTGTTGATGATGATGCTGATGATGATGATGATGATGATGATGATGATGATGATGATGATGATGATGATGCTGATGAGGCTGATAGGCGGAGGAGGAGAAGGAGGAGGAGGAGGAGGAGGAGCAGAAGAATAAGGAGGAGGACGAGGTAAAACGTGCCTTCGCCCTGGATCCTGACCCCCGTGAGTCCCCAGAGGCTTTGGATTCCGGATGCTTCTGAAAGTCCAGGAATATCGAAATCCATGAACACAAATTTGACAAGAGCACGCAAAACACGTTTCTCTTGGAGACCACTACTCCCAGCCTCGTTGTTTTCACTGCTTGGACCCGCAGAGAGATCGACACCATCGGGGCCCGCTTTTCCTCCTGAATAGTGTTTTGTGGACAGCCCCCAGGGGCCTGGTGACGGCCCCCAGAGGCAGATCACTGCCACGAGGCATCCTGCGTGCATCTTTTTCAAGACGCGATGGGGTTCGGGTAGGTTTTGGTGGAGGGGTCGAGGAGGGGCGATGATCGATCGACCCGCAGTGGCTTCTGGAAACTCAGAACAATGTCATACGTATTGCGAAGGCCTTACGAGCGGTGCCGCCGACCCCGAAGGGGGACGATGACGAAGGCAGCGATGATGAAAAGCATCAAAAAGCTAAGCTCAGGAATGGGAGGGCGGAGAAGAGAAGGGGGACGGAGGAGGTAAGGAGGAAGGGGACAAAAGATGGAGGAGGGAAGATAATTATGAGGAGGAGGGATGAGGAGCTGGATGGCGGAGGAGTCGCCATGGATTCGCCATCTACCAGGATAGGTGTGGTGTGTCGCCACTAAGACAAAAGGGTAGCGCGGCAACCACTTTACTATGTACTGTGTATACACCGTCGGACCGCCGACGACCATGACGCTGCTGTGGGTCAAAGTCCTCAGAGATGCTTCTTGGGGTCTGGTCGAAACGCTCTACCTTGGGCCGTTTTGGGTCGCTCGTGGAGCCCTCTGGGGCTGTCTGGGGGCGATCTTGGAGGCGGGCCGCCTTGTAGCGTCGGTAAGACGGTGAGGCGAGAACGTTGAAATCATGCAAAAACCTCTGGGGAACCGAAGGCTTTTGTTTTCGAGGTACTCTTGGGGCTGCTCTTGGAGGCCTCTTTGAGCGTCTTGCAGGATTCTTGGGACGTCTGGAAGCCGTCCAGGCGTCTTGGACAGATCGTTCGGCGACTCGGGGCCCTCGTGGACTGCCTTCGGGAGCTTTTGGGGCACTTCTGGCCCGTCTTGAGGCTTTTTTGCGGCCAGGGAGCCCCCGGCGGGGAAGCGTATCTGACCCGGGAGCCCCCCCTGGTCTGGGCCCGGGCTCGGGCCTGGGACCCCCCCTGGGACCCACCCCCTCCCGGCGGAGGAGGGATCAACGGGAAGGGGCTTCCCTTCGAGCGTTCGTTTTGACTGACGCGCTTGAGGAGGAGAGCCCAGGAACGGAGAGAGGAGTGGCGACGGGCACAGGGAAAGGAAAGCGCCGGGAAAGAGGACGACAGAGACGACGATGAACGAATGACGGCGACGACGACTCGAACGGAAAAGCCCCTCACACACGCCGACATGGTCGGCGGATATGTACATATGTATCTAGCTATATGGTGCAACTATGTTCACACGCATACGCACGATAGCGAGTGTGTGTGTGTGCGTGTATGTGCAAATGTGTCCACAGTATCATACTCACCTCTCCCAGGAAGTAGACTTCAGAGGCGATGTTTGTGCCGTCCGCGATGCTTCTGGCCGTTTCGGTCGGGACAACCTTATGACTCTGGAAGTCGGATGCACACCCATCTGGCAGATCGCTACGTCAGGGTCCAAGAACACAGTGGGTCATCCACGCTTGAACATGAAATCTGCAAACCACAATGGTTGGCAACAATTTCGCTCAACCTTGTTCTAACACACTTGGTTGTTCAATGGTTTCCTGTGTAGTTCCCCAGCGTTGTATAAGAGCACCTTCACAGCACACAGTGGGACTCAGTGACTGTGCACGTAGCCGCTGGAAAAGCAGATGTTTTCTTTGGTCACCAGTGTAGTTCGCCCGTTGTTGCTCATGTCCGCAGGGGTGCTTCTGAACATTTCGTCTCACTGCAAGCTGTGGTAACCCCACCCGTGGCACCACATTGCTTTTTGCATAAGTTTGGGCACGTGCGTGCAGTTGTCATGCATGCAACCGCTCAAGCCGAACGAACATCTTGACCCGCGATCCCTGAGAGGAAATGGAGGGAGCGAACCCACCAAACAGAGGTAATAATTGCTCTATTCGATGCTTCTGGGGGGAGGGAGGGAAGGTTCCCCAAAGCATTACGACACATGTTCCTTCTCGATGCTCGAGGGGGGAGGGAGGGCAGGGGCGCGGTGGTCGACCAGTGCCCTCCCTGACAGGAATGCGCCTGGACGCCGTAATGCACCTGGTGGAGCAGCACGTGGGGAGGCAGGGGGAGGGCCTGATCCACTTCAAGGGCCTTCTGGACCTCGTGGAGCAGGCCGGCCAGATCAGACAAGAAAAGCAAGTGCCAGAGATTGCTCCTCGACTGCGGTTTCTGGGCCTTGGCTTCCCTTCCTGCTGGTAGGTCTGGTGTTCCTTTCCCCAGCTGCGCTATCCCCGCTGATTGCCAGTGTGGAAACCTCACCCTCCGGCAGAGCTTGACGCAATTCTAGCACGGACTGCTGTGGCCAGGGCTCCGCGGCACACCGACGCCGTCACAGCAAGGCTTTGGCCCAAACGTGGACAGGCAGCGGGGCGATCAAACAAGGACGCTGCAAATCACTCCCCTTCACTGCCCTGGGTGGGTACCACTGGAAATAAGTCGGGCCTGTCCCTCTACAGGGGGAGTATCCCAAAAAAGTCAAACAATAGTCATGAGACGATGTTTGAAGTATTTTTGTATGTTTTGTTGCAGATGTTTTGGCTATCTGTAATTTTTCGTTCAACATCCCCCTGTAGGGGGACAGGCCCGACCAAACACTGCAAACATATCGTCCATGTTCGTCTCCCCTCCTCCTCCCTCCAGCCTTCCCCCTCAGCCGCCCTGGGGCTGGGTTGGGCTGGGCTGGGCTGGGAAGCAGGAGCCGGGATGCGGTTGAGAGAGACCCGCCGCGTGAACGTCTGGCGTCGGTGCTACCGCTGCGCTGCCGTTGCTGCCGACGACGCCGCCGTCGTAGTCGTCGTCGTCGTCGTCGTCGTCGACGTCGTCGTCGTCGTCGTCGTCGTCGTCGCTGTCGTCGTTCGTCGTCGCCGGCGCTGTCGCCAGCAGCGCCCTCGTCCAAGGCGTCTGGGCCCTCCTCCCCACTTGCCCTCCTCCGTCATTCCTCCCTCCCTCCCCTCCCCTCCCTCTTGTCCCTCCCCTCCCCTCCCTCCCTCTTGTTCCCTCCCCTCCCTCTTGTTCCCTCTTCCCTCCCCTCCCTTCTTCCCTCCCTCCTCCCTCCCTCTTCGCCCTTCTGTTTTCGTCCCTCCCCTCCCTCTCGTTCCCTCTTCCCTGCTCCTCTGTCGTCGCCGTCGTCCTCGCTGCCGTCGTCGCCCTCCCATCCCCTCGTTGCCGCCGTGGTCGTGGTCGTCGTCGTTGTCGTCGTCGTCGTCGTCGTGGTCGTCGTCGTCGTCGTCGTGGTCGTCGTCGTCGTCGTCGTCGTCGCGGTCCTCCTCCTTGTCGGGCTGTTCGCCACCTCGTGGGAGGGTCCTGATCCCGATTCCTCGCTCAGGCTGGCACCTGCGTCGTGCCACGCGGCGGGCCAGGACCAGGCAGGCCCCCTGGCCTGGGTGGCTGTAGATACGTCCTTGGCCCCCCTCGATGGCGCGTCCTGCTCGAGCTCCTCGCGGCATCCCTTGGGTGCCTCCGTGGGGAGGGCCGTGGTGATGGCCCGTTGCCGGCTTGGGTCCACGGGTCCGCCGGCCGTCATTGGGGTCGGGGTTCCTCGAAACGTCCTCCATGAGCCGGCCTGGGTCAGCGCTTTCGACGGCCGTCACGAGGCTCCATTGCTGGGGTAAGTACGTCAGGGGTCGCTGCGTGGCCGACCGTGGTGGAGGCCCTCGAGGGCCCTTCCTCCCCTGTCCCGCCGTCACTTGATGGCTGAGGCTGGACCAGGCCAGTGCCTCTCTGCGTTGCCTACGACCTGGCATCCATGGTGTGTATAGAGGCCGTGCGCGCGGACCCACAACAGGCCCGCAAGGATCCAACCAACCAGTTGCGATCAGCAACCCTCCAAGACAGAGAGCAGCAACGCCACCGCTCGCGTGTTCAGGTTAGGATGGGCGCCCAGACGAAGACTCCCAGGCCATTCCTTCGACGAGGATCGAGAGGCACCTCTGGGCCCCCAGACAGATGTGTCCAACCCTTGGCACGCATCGGCTCGCATCATCAGGGGGGGTATGTATCCCAGCCCCAGCCTGCTTCAAAACCAGTGCCCGAGGCGTGCGACGATGGCCCGGCGCCGTTTCAAACCTTGGCGTGGCCTTGCAAGCTCTCCCAGCATCCTGGCCCCCCTACCCACTTCCCGCCCCGCTCGCCTTCTCCGTCCCGCTCGGGCCCTTTTGCCCCCGTCCATCTCCTGGCAGGTCCGCCGAAGATGCCAGCGGGGCGACTCCCTCCTCCTCCCCTTCCCGTAGGATGAAACTCTTTGGGGGTTCGTCTGAGCATCAGCGCTGGTATTTCCATGGTCGAAACGCTGAGTCCTCGTGAAGCTGGCCCAATCTGGCTCAATCCTGGGCCGAACCTGGGCGAATCTAGCCGAATGGTCCTTCCATCGGGCTCACAGCATTACCCCTGATCGTTCCTGCACGACGACGTCCCAGAAGTTGCCCCTGTCCTCTTCGCGTTCCTCCCGCCTGTCCCGCCCCGCTCGCCTTCTCCGTCCCTTCCCCGGGGGGCCTCTTGCCCCCCGCCCAGAGCCCGCGCCCCAGGGCCGGAGCTCCCGAGCCTCCGAGCCTCCGAGCCTCCGAGCCTCCGCGCCGGTGCCCGAGCCTCCGAGCCCGATGCCTCCCGGCAGGTGCGCCGGAGGTGCGAGCACACCGACTTCGAGCCCCTGGAGGACAGGTTCGTCCGCTTCGCGGCCGTCGAGTCCCGCACCGCCTCGGCCGAGGCCGCCCTGGCGGCACCCATCGACCGCAGGGAGTCGGGCAGCAGGAGCACTGCGAGCGGCCCCGCGCCGAGGCACATCCCCCTGGCGCCGCGGGGCAAAGCCGAAGGGGTAGGGGCGGGAGGCTGGAGGTGGATGAGGAGGTGGGGGAAGAGACTGGAGGTGGATGAGGAGGAGGTCGGTGGATGACGAGGAGGGAGGGTGGGGGTTAGGAGCTGGAGGAGGAGGAAGAGGAGGAGGAGGAGGAGGAGGAGGAGGAGGAGAGGAGGAGGAGGAAGAGGAGGAGGAGGAGGAGGACGAGGAGAAGAATGAGGATGAGGAGGAGGAATATCAGGAGGAAGAGGAAGAGGAGGAGGCGGAGGAGGAGGATAGGAGGAGGAGGATGAGGAGGAGGAGGAGGAGGAGGCGGAGGAGAGGAGGAGGAGGATGAGAATGAGGAGGAGGAGGAGCAGGAGGAGGAGGAGGAGGAGGAAGAGAAGGAGGAGGAGGAGGAGGAAGAGGATTAGCAGGAGGAGGTGATCGCTTTATTCCTCTCCGGCGTAACGCTCGTTACACGGGCCAACCCGTCCCCCCCCCTGGGTAACGCTAACGATCGTGCCGCGGGGGAGGGCGCCCTGGCCCCCCCCTGCATGCTGGGAGCGGACCCCCCACAGGTATGGTGCCGTGCTCACAGGCGTGGCGTGGTCTGAAGGGCACGCATTGGTTCTCACAAGCGTGTTGTCGCGCTCGCAGTCGTCGTCGTCGTCGTCGTCGTCGTCGTCGTCGTCGTCGTCGTCGTTGTCGTCGTTGTCGTCTTGGTCGTCTTCGTCGTCGTCGTCCAACGCAGCTGGCCATGGCTCAGCTACCAGTGGCTGGTTCGACCCCTCTTCTGCAAGTGCAAAACGCGGTGGCTGTATCTCTTCCTTCTGGCCGGTGCTCGGTGGCAATGCGATACAGTCAACGCGCCTAGTAAGTACGCGTGCCTTCTCCAAGATACCCTTGTGTCCTTGCCTCTGCGGCCTGTCCTCTGCCGCTTTCATTGGCCAGCTTTAGCGAACAAATCCCAGCTTCGGCTTCCAAGGGTCTTGCGTCCCTACCACCCGTCCGTAATGCACGTACTGATTGAAGATCCAGCGCCATGGAGAAGATGAAGACTGGGCGGCCCCCCGCCGTCTCCCGCGGGCGCTGTGGTGTGCGCGGACGCTGAGGTTCACGCAGGTTTCGTGGAGCACACCGGCGCTACGTTGCACACAGCTGCTGCGGTGTACGCAGGCGCTGTGTTGTACGCGAGCGCTGTGGTGCACGCGGGCACTGTGGTGTACACCGACGCTGTGTTGCACGCGGCTGCTGCGGTGTACACAGGCGTTGTGGTGTACGCAGGCGTTGTGGTGCACGCGTATAGAACCCTGACGCGCTCCAGTTTCCATAGGGATTTTTCCAAACGTGTATATAAAACGTTTGTTCCCTGTGGAATTCAGAGGCGCCCCAATTTACAGAAGTATTCCTTTATCGACCAAAGGCTTTTCTGTTGAATCCAGAGGCGCTCCGCTTTCCATAGCGATTCCTTTTCAACGTGAGAATGGGGTGTTCTGGAATTCAGAGGCGTTTTTTTGTTTCCATAGGGCGTCCTTCAATACTCTCATTATAAACAATGGTTGTCTGTATCATTCTATTCCAAACACGGTTGCTGCAAGATACACAAGCGTTGCGGTGTGCATGGGCGACGTGGTGCTGCAGTGCACGCGGCTGTTGTGGAGTACGGAGGCACTGTGATGTGTACACAGTTGGCGCTGTGTTGCACGGAGGCATTGGGTATTGTCGTGCACACAGGCGATTGATGCGCTGGTGGCGCGGACGCACCCAGGCGGGCGCACGCCGCGGCCGCCGTCACCATTACCCTCCCTCCCGACCGCCCCCCCGGGTAACGGCCGTTACCCGGGAAAGGAAAAAAGTTGCCACGAGGGAGGGGAGGGAGGAGTGGCAGCAGCAGAAGGAGCATCGTGAGGAACAGCAGGAGCAGTGATTGACGGAAGAGGTAGATCACAGGGGAAAGCGACATGGGGGGACGAGGAGAGGGAGGAGAAAGGAGCAGAAACGGATGCGAGAGGGAAGAGGGTGAGGAGGAGGAGGAGGAGGAGGAGGGTGGGTGGGTAGACGTTTTGGCGGAGGAGCAGCAGCAACCACCTCGATGAGCATAAGGGAAAACGTGGTGGAGGAGGGAAGGGAGATGAGGCAGGGGAGGCCGAGTGCGTGGCAGAAGCAGGTGTATGCCTACGGCCGCGAGGGCGAAGCGAGCCGCCCGCCCCCCCCCCCCGCGAACGGAGGGGTCGCCTCTGCCTTTCGGCCTCCTGACGTCCAGCCGCCTGTTCTCCTTGGGCCGTGCAGGTTTCGGGACAGCCCTTCCGAGAATGAGGAGCAATAGGGGGATCGTATAATGATGGCGGTGGTGATGACGATGGTGATAATGGCGTTCGTGATGATGCTGCTGTTGCTGATGATGATGCTGATGATGCTGATGATGATGGTGGTTGGAGTGGGTCGATGGTGATGGTGATGTCGTTGGTGGTGGTGATCAGGAGGAGACGGAGTAGGATCATGGTGGTTGTAATGATTCTGGCAATGATGAGGACGAATTGGGAGGGTGGTGGTTGTGGTGCTGGTAATCGTGATCGTGGTGGTGATGATGGTGGTGATGATGATTGTGATGATGCTGTCGATGCTGATGGCGAGGAGGATGATGCTGATGATGATGATGATGATGATACTGATGACGATGGTGATGCTGATTTTACTGGTTTCGATGCTGATGACCAGGATGATGATGATGCTGATGATGCTGCTGATGATGATGATGGTGATGCTGATGCTGATGCTGATGATGATACTGATGATGATGATGATGATGATGCTGATGATGATGATGATGATGGTGATGATAATGATGATGATGATGATGATGATGATGATGATGATGATGATGATGATGATGATGATGATGATGATGATGATGATGATGAGAGTGCGCGCGCAGTAATGATGTCAGAGGGGCTGTTCAGTGAGACGAGTAGGGGGAAGGTAGCAGGAGGTTAGCGTGCCTCGCCCGTTGCCCCGCTCTGCAGCCTTTTGTTGTTTCAGGGTCTGCGCTGCGCCGACCCATCCGCCACGGTGCCCCCGTGTATGTCCGGCTGGCTCGGCGACGTGCTTGTTGAGGCTTCGCGGGAGGCTGTGCGGACGCTGGGCACCGCGTCCTTGGTGTGGGCTGGCCAGGGTGAGCGGTCGTGCCCCGACTGCACCTGCTCGCCACGCCTGGCGTGCCCTGCGTTGCAGTGCCCGCCGTGCACGCTCGGGGGCGCCGCCTGCCCGAGCTGCGCGGAGGCCAGCTGCCCAGAGGCGGCGCGGGGCCTCGGCGGCTGGTGTCTCCTCGCGGTGCTGGTCGCGGCCATCGCGGGGCTGGCGGCTGGCTGCTGCCTGGGCACCGTGTGGGGCACTGGCGTTCGGCGTATGCATGGCCGGCTCGAAGCCCATCGCTCCAGGTCGTCTGATCCTGGTGTGGTATGGGGGCGCGGAGGCATATTGGCACGAGCGCCTGCTGCTCTGCCAGGTCCGGGGATCGACTTGGGTGATCGCAACACCCGATGACGACGTCTATGAAGAAGACATCATGGCGCTCGGTGGCCGTCCGTGCATGCAAGGGTCTGTGCCGCACGCTCTGCTCAAGCGCTTCGCGCCGCTCGGTCAGTTGCGCTCGAACGCGGATCGGCGCCAGATCTTCGATGATGGGATCGCGGAGGCCCAGATGCGGAAGGCTGCCCTGGGGGTGGATGGTGCCGCGGCTGACGCCGAAGCAGTTGCCGTTCGCAATCGTGTGGCCGTTCGCGGCTGTGTCGATGGCAGTGGGCTTCCTGGGGGACAGGCCGCTGCAGCGCCGCCCGCCGCAGGAGGCGCCCTGGTGCCCGCCTCCGCTGGGCCCCCGGCTGGAGCCGCCCCACCGCTGGCGGGAGGGGGAGCCCCGGCTGCCGGTGGCGCCGGAGTGCTCGCGCCCCCGCCCGGGGCCGCCGTTGGGCCCGCTGGGCCTGCCGTGGTGGCGCCCGCCGGGGGTGCGCAGTGGATCGTCATGGTAGCCGCCCCTCGTCTTTTCCGTTTTCGTGGCCCTCTTCGGGCCAGTCAGCTGTTGGTCTTCTCCGAGGGCGACGGCGAGATTTGTTTCAGGCATGGCTGATGATCGCCAGCGTGACCTCTTGCCGCTGCCTCGCCACCAGGATTGTTAGGGCCCTGTGGTCTAGTCAGTCGTGGAGTTCGACAACGTATTTGTAGGCGCGCCTGGTTGGACAGGCGCTCTGATGAAGTCACTTGGGCCCTCAACGAGCTGGGGGGCGTCGGGGGCGCATCGCCTTGCGGGCCTGGAGGTGAGCAGACGAGGGCTGCCCTGTCCCTGGTCCGAGATGCTGCTGCCGCCGCACCTCTGCCGAAGCAACGGCTCTCCCCGCATGAAGCCCTTGCGGCGCTTCTGCGCACAGGCGCTCGCTACGGAGGCAGCGAGCGTGCCGGGGACATTGCACCGTTTGGCTCGGCGCCGGTTTCCTTGCCGAGTCGCGACCTGGTCGGGGGGGACATCTACAAGGTTTTGCCCCGGGCTGCGTCGCGCAAGTTCAAGCGGCTTCGCGACGCCATTTTTCTCAGCGACGAGGAGTATGCATTACGTATCAAGAAGGAGAGGCTGCCCAACCTGTACTTCGACCCATTGCTGGAGGCGCATCCTGCTAAGTGGGAGGGAGCCGAGAACGTCGTGACAGGGGTCTGGCACGATGGATTCGAACCTACAAGGAAAGGGTTGTTCTGTTCTCTGTTCGCTAGAAGATGATGGTTTACGATTTATATGTGATTCACGAAGGAGCAACATTCGATTTGCTTTCCCAGACGCCATTCAACACGCAACTGGGGGCTCTCTCAGTCGGTTGGAGGCCGCCTCAGGCCAAAATTTTCACGCAGCCAGCTTCGACATTAAATACTACTTCCATGAGCTCAGGATTGACGAGGAGCTGTCCCAGCACTTCACGCTACCACCAGCGCGAGCGTCGGCAGTGGGGGCGCACGTCATCAGCGGCATCAGGGCGGAGCCGAACGAGTTCATGTACCCTGCGCTCCAGACGCTGCCGATGGGGTTCTCGTGGGCCACGTGGGCTGCCCAACTGGTCCATGAGGAGCTCCTACTGCGCGCTGGGCTTCCTCCTGCCCGGCTCCTGCGAGACGGCGCGCCGCCGCCAGTCCTGGACGAGGGGGCGGCTCACTTGGCGTACGTTGACAACTTAGGGGCCATTGGCAGCAGCGAGGAGGAAGTGGGGGAGCTACATCGGCAGGTGCCCACTGGAGCACGGAAGGCAGGTTTCCAAGTTCACGAGATCGACAGGTCAGCACCTCGATGGGCATCGCGGGTGTGCACTTTGGCGGCCAGAGGCAGGTCGCCGCGCTCTCGGCCAAGCGGGCGCGGCGCCTCTACGCGGGACTCCACGCCCAAGCGCGGCGAAGTCGTTGCGCGGGCAGGGAGATTCGGGCTACGCTTGGGCACCTGCGCTTCGCTTTCCTGCTGCGGCGACCCTGCCCGTCGCGCCTCGCCGCCTCCTTCGTTTTCGCCGAGTCGGCGGGGGGGGGGGGCGAGAGCATCTGGCCCAGCGCGAAGCGGGGGCTGCTCATCGCCGCGGCCATTCTGCCGCTGGTCTACGCGGGCCTCGGGGCGGGCTGGCTTGACCAGGTGGTGGCCACTGGTGCTGGCCAGACTGGTCTTGGCGTGCGCGTTGCCGGGTGGGCGCCTGCCGGCGTTCGCCTCGCGGGTCGTCGAGACGAGCGCAGGAGGCTCAAGAAGTGCCCGCGTCGCAAGCATCGCGAGGTGGCCTTGGCCGGCTATGACATAGGCGAACCCCCAGTCGATAGGAACGGCAACCTCGTCTACGACGGAGAGGGGTCGGCCTGGCTCTCCCGTGGCGACTTCCCAGACATACAGCCCACTGCCGTCGCAGATGCGAAGCGGGCCGCGGTGGCCAAGCGGCCTTGTGGGGAGCGCGAGGGGGCCGTCCGCGTCAAGGAAGCGCGCGGCGTCAAGCAAGGCTTCAAGCGCATCGCGCGACGTGGCCGCTGGCGTCGCTGCAAGGTGCTCATGCTGGTCGACAACGTGGGCCTCGTACTTGCCCTTCAGAAAGGCAGGTGCAGGGGTCCCGCGCTGCTGGGCCAACTACGACAGATGGCTGCCCTTTAGCTCGCCACTGGACTGCGAGCGCAGTGCCGGTGGATACCATCCGAGGTCAATCCCGCCGATCGTCCATCTCGACAGCGGGAGCCCGCGCTGAGCAGCTCTCCCCCTGGATGGCGCCCTCCTCCTGGGCTGGCTCATCCCGATGCCTGGGGTGACTACCAGGGCACCCGCGGTCAGACGGAGGCCCGCAGCAGGGGTCGCGTCGCGCAACGTGACCAGGCGCCTGGAGGTGGAGGCAGCGCTGCCAGTTGGGAAGCTGGGCTCGCACGCCCGGGCGCCGCTGCCGCTGGGGGGCGCAGGGTCAGGACTATCCGAGCCACCTGTCCTGCCCCGCCCCCCGGCGACGCCAGCAGGGCTTCGCGGCGGCTCGCGGAGATCGCGGGTCACAACCGCGACAAGGCAGGCTTCCGCTCGGCGCTCAGCCGGCCGCGGGGGCATCTCGCATCTGGAGAGCATCGTGGTCGGGCCAGCGCCGATCGAGGACTGCGACAGGCGCGTCGGGGAGTTCTTCCAGTTCGCCCGCCGCCGGGACTCGATGGGTCAGCACCCTAGACTACTTGGAGGAGGCCCTGCTGGAGTGGGCCGACCAGGCGCGCTTGGGCGGCAGGAGGAGGCACGACGAAGAGAAGCTGGAGGCAACTGTCCTCCTCTTCTAGCCGAACCTCCAGAGGCCCAACACCAAGCCGCTGGCCAGGTTCGAGAGGCCCCATCAAGGCGTGGAGACGACGGCGGCCAGCATTTGGTCGGTTGCCATCGCCGTATCCGACCGTCTGCGGACTTGCTGTGGCCCTTCATCTCATGGGTCGCACGGGTGTGGCCGTGGCCGTGCTGGTCGCGCTCAGCGCCTACTTGCGGCGCGGGGAGCTGCGTGGGCTCCGCGCGCGCGATGCCGTCCCGCCCGCAGTTGGCTTCGGGCCTGCCTACCAGAGCTGGTCGCTCGTTCCCGGGCCCTCCGACGATATCGGGGGCCCGCAGTTGGAGGTTCAGAGGCGCGAGCGGTGGGCCGGCATCAGCTGATCATGCGCGAGAAAGCAAGCGCGGTCAATGCCAGGCTGGTGGAGCGTCCGCCGGGCGTCCAGGAGCACCGCGAGCTCTGCTACTCGCACCCTGGCGACATCCTCCTCGGCGGGGTCCGAGGACCCCGACCGCTTGGCTGGGAGGCGGTGACGTCTTCCTTGGCATCTTCGCCGGGACCGAGGGGATTGGCAGGGCAGTCGCAAGGAGCGGCATCTCGTCGCTAGAGATCGAGCTCGAGCTCGGCACCGACATTCTTGCGCCTGGGATCATGCCGGCGCCGCTGGAAGTGATGAGCGCGGGCAGGGCGCAAGGAATCTACGTGGCTACGCCGTGCCGCTCCTTCAGTATAGCGCGACGGGCGCTGCGAACCTCGCCCATGCCCAGTGCCGCGCGTTCTCCTGAGCGCATTTGGGACTTCTTGGATCTCTCCGCTAAAGATGGAAAGGTGTATGGAAGGCAATGGGTTCGCGGGAGTCACTGGCGTGCTTGTTCGGCAGGCCCTTCGACGCAACATCCCGAGCACGATCGAAAACCCCGCAACCTACATGCTCTGGAACATGCCGATTTTGAAGAGCCTCCGCAACTCAAAGAATGCGAAATTCATCGTTTTTGACCAGTGCCAGTTCGGGGCAGAGTTCAGGAAGCGCACCTCCATCCTGATGTCTTCAGATTTTGACGACTCGTTCTTCGATCACAAGTGCACTGGCATGGCAGGCCTGTGCTCCCGCTCCAATAGGCCACGTTCACACCTCGAAGGAAACGGGGCGGCCCGCTGGATGACGGATCGTGCTGAACGCTACCCCTAGTTGTGCTCCGCCGTCGCCGACACGATTCGATCCCTGTGGGCCCAGAAGCATGTCGTGGGTGTTTCATCTCTGTCAAGAGCCAGACCGTGATCTGCGGCTTCTCCCTCAACCCACCGGAAGCCAATGACAGACCTGAAGGCGGGAACTCTTTTCCAGATGGGGTACGGGACACTGCTTCAATCGATTTCAGTGGTGCATGGTGGAAAGCCTGCAGTGGATCGCTCTGGGATATCAGTCTATCGGCCGCGTTAAAGCATCATGAGAGTGCGTGCACAGTAATGATGTCAGAGGGGCCGTTCAGTGAGACGAGTAGGGGGAAGGTAGCAGGAGCTTCGCGTGCCTCGCCCGTTGCCCCGCTCTGCAGCCTTCTGTTGTGCCCGACCCAACCCTCCCTGGGGACACTGTTTCAATCGGTTTCAGTGGTGTTTGGTGGCAAGCCTGCAGTGGATCACTGTGGGATATCATCAGATTGGCCGCGTTAAAGCATGATGATGATGATGATGATGCCGATGATACTGCTGGTAATGCTGATGATCATGATGCCGATGCTGATGCTGTTCATGGTGATGATGGTGATGGTGGTGGTGATGGTGATGATTTAGGTGGTGAATATGATGACAATAATGATGCTGCTGGTGGTGATGATGCTGATCTGATGGTCGTGAGGCTGTTGATGGTGATGCTGATGGGGATGTTACTGATCATGTTGATGCTGATGGGGGTAATGATTGTGATGGTGATGATGATGATGATGATGATGATGATGATGATGATGCGGGTGACGATGTTGATGCTGTTGATGAAAATGCGGACGATGACGATGACGATAACCGTAAGTATGACGACGATGATGATGAATATGAGGATGACGGCGATGATGAGGATGGTGATGGTGATGATGGTGATGATGACGATGCTGATGGTGACGATGACGATGATGCTGATGATGATGCCGGTTATGATGATGGTGGTGTTCACGATGATAATGATGATGATGAGGAGGAAGAGGATCATGATGATTCCACAAGAACCGTTTTTCGTTCCGTGGGGGCCGTTAAGCCTCGAGTAGAGCGTCTCGTTCGCGGGTTCCTTATTGAGCCCGTTCGGCGTCAGGGCCCGCTCGGCCGATTAATGGGTAGTGGAATGGGCTCAAGTCCCAGATGGTGGTGGGAACTTGGCCCGTTCGGCAGCCAAGCGCGCTTCATCCCAGGGCCGCACGGCAGCCCAATGGGCTCAGACGTCGAATGAGCTGAGAACGGAGCCCTGGGGCATGGGCCTTCAGAGGCCTCCGGAGCAACAAGATGAGACGCGCGGGGATCTCGAGCCACGCGTCCGAGGCCTGAAGTTCGGCATGCGGCGCTCCAGAGAGGGCTCGCAGTCGAGGGTCGAGGTCGTTGACGTCTCTTCCTCGGCGGAAGCTGGCGGAAGGCGATCGCGAAGTGGAACCGAGGTCCGTTGTGCCAGCGGAGGCTGGGCAGAAGGCGGTCGGAGGAGAAGCTGCGCCCCAAAGTCGGGGGTTGCTGAGGGTGCGCCTGGCCCAAGGTGCCCCCAGCTACCGCTCAAATATAGAGCGCCTGGGGCCCTCTGAGCCTCGCGAGGGGTGCTTTGGAGTCCGTGGGGCCCCGCCTCCCCACAGGATTCCCCCTTGGGAGCACTGTCCCAAACCGTCGCACTAAGCAGAGGCTCTGAGCCAGACCCCCCGACCGCCACTCCACGGACCTCTCGCGGGGTGCATTCTGACCAGGATCTCGAGGCGAATCCAGCCGTGGCGATGAGGGAAGGGCAGCGGCTCCCTGGAAGTCCTGGGGGCACCTTGGGCCAGGGGTACTTCTAGAAACACCCGTCATGGCGCCAGCATCGCAGAGCGGATATCGTTCGGACAACAATGAAATGAGCCCAGATTGTCCTAGAGAAGTCCGTTCCGGATTTCGAAGCGAAAATCGTGCGGATGTTTTTAGCCAGGAACGACTGCGAAACATCCACGTATGATTCACTTCGTTTTTCGCTCGTCGTTTCGGTGTTTCACATTGGCAGAAATACGCGCAACAATCTGCTGCAGCACGTCTGCAAGGTCGGTGCAGTGAAATATGTTTGGGTCCAGATTTCCGGAATCTGTCACATGCCCAACGTGTTGGGAATTTATTTTCCAGGATTTCGGGAAGCGGTGGATGTTGACAGATGTGGGCTTCTTGGGCCCAGCGATATGCATTTACTGCCTCTCGGATCCCTGTGACATCGGTTACCAAAGTGTTGGACAGGTGCAATTCTTGGCAGGAAGGGGAGGAGGAGAATGATGAAGAGGGGGAGGTGAGGGGCGCAGATGGTCTCGATCGCACGTCTGCCGGATCACCAGATTCACGCAGAATGTCTACATGCAGGCTGCCTTGAAGTTCCAGGGATGGCACTGAGCGTATTGGGGCGCATCTGCTCATCCGGGCGGTGAACGAACGAACGAGAAAAAGAAGGGGACGCGAATGAGGAAGACGACGACTTACGGGAAAAGAAGGAGGAGGAGGAGAAGGAGGGAGGAGGAGGAGAGATTTGCTCCCGCCCCGGTCCTGATCCCCGGAGGTCCCCGAGGGCCACGGTTTTGCAAGGGGGGAGATGGGGGGGAGGGGGGGAGGAGGAGAAGGAGGGAGGAGGAGGAGGAGGAGGAGGAGGAGGAGGAGGAAGAGGAGGAGGAGGAGGAGGTGGAGGAGGAGGAGGGAGGAGGAAGACCGGTGTGAAACTAGGAGTCAGCGACGATGTTGGAATTCACCCCCACAACGGTTCATTTCCATTGAGGGAACTGCCTCGTTGGAAGACAACCGTTTGAAGATCCTGAAGCATGCCAAAACATGTTTCTCGGGATTTGAACGCCACGTATCAACCTGACTGCTGCGTCTTGACGATCCGGAATCGTGCCAGAGCGCCATTCTTGGGACTTCAACACCGCGAATCAACATAACTGTTGCACTTGCAAAATCCTGAATCCTACCAAAACACCAGTTCTGGTACGTTGATCATGGGAAGCCGTGGAACTCTTGCAAACTTTTGAAACGAATGTGGGCGGCGCTAAGGCGAGAGTTATATTTTGAAAAGGAAGAACCTTCAATCCGTGAAGCCCTTGCAAATGTTTTCAACGAATGCGCGCGGCGGCGCTCAAGCGAGAGTCACATTTTGAGAAGGAACCGCCTTCGATCCGTGCAATGTTTGCAAATTCTTAAAATGAATGTGCGCGGCGCTAAGGCGGGAGCTACATTTTGAAAACCACGCGCCTTCAATCCGTGAAGCTCGTGCAAATTTCTAAGACGAATGTGCGCGGTGCTAAGGCGAGAGCTACATTTTGAGAACGGCCCGCCCTCAATCCGTGTAACTCTTGCAATGGTTTAAAACGAGTGTGCGCGGCGCTAAGGCGGGAACTACATTTTGAAAACCACCCGCCCTCCCTCTGTGAAGCTGTTGTCACACTTTTAAGGCTTCAGGGTCACACGTGGTGAAGAAGTCTCGGGCGAAACCCGGGCCCGCCCTAAAAACTAGCCTCGGGGTGCGACAGGGAGGAGTTCTCTTTAAGGAGAGGGAATGGAGGAGGAGGAAGGGAGGAAGGGAGGAAGGGAGGAAGGGAGGAAGGGAGGAAGGGAGGAAGGGAGGAAGGGAGGAGGAGGAGGAGGGAGGAGGAGGGAGGAGGAGGAGGAGGAGGAGGAGGAGGGGGCGGACGATGAGAAGGAGGAGTTGGGGTCTGCAGCCGAGTTTTCTCGGGGTGCTGTCGTCTGCACCTCCTAGATGGGGTCGGAGATGATGGGGTCTGTGGATCGCGCCGCAGCGCCGATGCATTGGCAATGCAATGGCGATGCGGCTCGATGTGGGGCCGAAGTTTCTTCTTTCCGACGTCGCCGATGCACCACCGACGTCGCCAGGGCATCGTCGATGTATCGGCGATGCGGCGAGATCCTCCGACCCCATCTACTCGGTCCCTATAGAAGAGGCCTCTAGCAACAGAGTTTTCTGGGGGTTCGTTCGTGGAGGCCGAGGCCACCCATCTCTAGAAGCTTTCTGTCGCGCCTCGAAGGCGTCATTTTAGGGCTTCTTCGAGGAATAGCAAGCTCGGAGGAGCCATGCGTCATCATAGTGGTACGTTCCACGATTTTCCAGATCCCAGGATTTCCAGGATTCCTTACTGTTCCGCACGGGGTCAATGAAGCCAGGGCCGCCGGATACTCCGGAACTCCTGGGACGCATTCTGAGCCAATCACAGTATGACACCATGGACTTCAGTTTTCGGATCTTCGCGCGGATTTTTCGGATTGGCGCGCGAAGCGTGCTATGGGCGCTGATCTAAGAACTCCGCACGGAGCTGCGGAAGCTGATCTTTATGCCGATGTTTCTTCCTAGTAGCACTCCTCTCATGTGTATGTTGTTTTTTGTAATGACCCTGGCGCGACCCCAATTAGGGGCGTTCTACCTTCCAAAGTAATTCAGAGCATTTCTGAACACTGCAAAGTGCAATGTAATGCAAAAGCTTGATTGGCATTGCTTGGCGTTGCCGGCGAAGCCAAGAAACCAACTCGGGGAACTTGGGCAACGCCTAAGTAATGGAAGCAAGCACCAGCGAACCAGGCGTTGCTGGGGGCTTCCTTTCGATTGGGACGCCGCACCCTCCGGTCCTTCACATATTGAGTAAGAAACCCGTAGGAACAACCGAAACGGGGATTTAATTCCGGTCGGTCCCAAAGGAGTCCAGGTAAAAGGGCGTGGTGGCAAAAAGTTATTTGGCCTTGATATATGAAAGTGATTGCGCCCTTCCTCCGTTCGTTGCAACACGTGCCTGCAAACGGCAATCGGGATATGTAAAGAAATTGGGCACACGGCAGACAGAGGTTTCGGATTTTGTTCGAAGACCTCGGCGGCCCATCTGCAACAGTCGTACTGTACGGCGCGAAGACCTCGGCGGCCCCCTCTGAGTGTATTGCGCCAGAGTATATCGGTTACACTGTATTGCCACACTCGCATCGCACGCAACAGTCGAGCAAGACATTTGCGCCCTGGAACACACTGCACGCCCCAAATCACAAATCTACTGCACCCCGGACCTTTTTATTGCAATGTGTTGCAGCTGGCGGGTTGCGTTGCACTGTTGCGCTGGCCGACTGCGGCGTATACCGTCCAGATCGGATCTGGAGCTTGCGAGCAGGGGAAGTGGGGTGCCTAGGATTGTTTCCCGATTCCGACGGAGGAATCGGAAGCCCGCTTGCAACAAATTGGCAGGCTGTGGCACCTCGAATTCGCGCGAAGCTTCAAGATCCGGGTATCAAAAGTTCAGTTGCGAGCTCTGTGTGACAGTCACAGCATGCGAATGCGTCACTGTATCGAATCAGATTCGAAATCCAACAGTACCACCCCTTCCACCTGGACCCCCAGCATGTCCGCCTAATCCAGCATTGTTCATAACATTCTTCTTGAGAGAAACAGAGAAAGAAAGACAGAAACAGAGAAAGAGTGAGAGAGAGAGAACATAATAGAGAAACAATATAAAGAGAGAAACAAGAGAGGGTTTCTTCGAGAGGAAGGAAGAAACAGAGAAAGAGAGAGAGAACAAAATAAAACCAATGAGAGGTGACCTTCTGAGAAGGCAGGGGGCCTTCCAGAGGGGTCCCGAGGCGTTCAGGAAGGCGTCCCGGGAGGCAGGATGGCCTTTCAGCGGCTCATGCTTATGCCATATGCTGTTCCTTGCCGAACATCCAACGACATGATTTGTTCAACCCGCGGCCCCAGTACCTTGCGTCCCAGATTCACTTTCTGACGGCCCAGGGGCCCGATATCGGGCCTAGAGTCCTGAATCGAGGGGAACTGCCAGATTGAGCAAATTTCAGATCGTCGGCGGTCCGGGTCGATGCTTGCGGGGGCCTCCTAGGGAGGCGAGGGCTCGACCGGGCCGAGGATCCTCAGGACGCGTGTTATCCCAAAGTTTGGTTTCCCCGCGCAGCTTGCGCAGGCCCTCGTGGCACCGCCTGCGTCGTGTTGGAAGGGCTTCGGTGGACAAGCCCACGTTCGCGCTAGCACACGTCCTGAGGAGCATCGAGGGGGCACCTCCGGCGGGGCTGCCCAGGTGTCCGTGGCCAAATTCGTGGACCAGACGCGCTGCCTGCCACGGCGGCGGGAGCTCCCCGACGCGGTGGCCCAGGTGGTCGAGGATCCCTCTGCTCCTCCTCCTCCTCCTCCTCCTCCTCCTCCTCCTCTGCTCCTCCTCCTCTTCGCACTCTCCGTCGCCTCCTCCTCCTCCGCCTCGAAGGATCCTTCTCAGCCTCATTCTCCTCCTCCTCCTCATTGTCCTCCTCCTCTGTGGGATCGGCTGCCGTTCAGCCTTCAGTCTCGGTGGAGCTTGGAAATCATCGCCTCCATGTGCGTTTTATCTTGGACCACGAGATCACTCGTAATTTGAGGTGGCACTTCCCGCAGTGAAAGGAAGTCTTGTATGGGGGTTCGGTCAAGAGCGTTTGCTTAGCGTGCCGCGCCTCCGGTTCTGGCCCACCGCGCTGCGGCGCGACACGCTACTGAACACGTCCTGGTCCCAATGCGCCAACGTCAAGAGCTTTACCCAGCCTCCCATCCCACGAAGCGGAGCGACACGCGATCAGCTCGCATGGCATAGTGTGTGGCAGGGGCTGCCGCCGCGACGCTCTGAGCACAAGGTCCCGACCGCTAGCTGCTTCTGAGGAGGGGAGTAGACGGCAGCGTCGTTGATGCATGTTAGGTTTGCTCAGAGAGGCGCGCGCGAGGACGACGGACGAACGACGACGACGACGACGACCGACCGCGCGCGCCCGGCTCAAACCAGCGCCGCCCCCGCTCTCCCTCCTCTGCGCCGGGCGCGGGGGCACAACCCCAAACACCAAGACGCCTGGCGAGCTTGTGGGATCGGTGCTCGACCCCAACGGCGGCTTCTCCGGCCCTGCCCCTGGCGCGGTCCGCGCGCCGAGCCGAGACATCCGCGTGGACCTCCGGAAGTTTATGTTCGTGTCGTTCGTTCCTCTTCTGTCCTCAGCTTGTCAGTCTTCTTGCGCCCTGGCCCTGTATTCATCCAGCGTCCCAGCCTTCCAGCTTCCCAGCTTTCCAGCCCGGCGCCCACGGTAGCTTGCGCCCCACATATTTTACTTCCACACAGTAAGCACTCCACAGCGTACGCCGCATGGTTTTCGCCCACCCGGGCTGTCACCGCATAACTTACACGACGTAGCTCACACTACGTCGTTTAAGCCGTATAGTTGTCGTTTCCAGTGCCAAAACGCATTGTTTGGGGTCCACGCTGGCCAACAGGAAGTGTGGAGATCTGTGTGGTCTGGAATTTCCCACCAAAAGGAAGCCAGGTGGCATGACAGTGGGACCGTCTGGATTTGGAATATGCCCCGTTCGTATCCGAATCGTATACAAAATGTTTGGGATCGTCAGCCGATGGGGTACGTTCCATTCCCATTGGCCTCCCGTTGGGTCCCGATTTGGATCCAGTTGGGATCATCTGGATCTGTGCCCGTTTCATTCTTATTGGGACCCCGTCGGGGTCAATTGAAATCCTTTGAATATGGGATTTGTCCCAATGCTATTGGAATACAACTGGCATCATTTTAGGATGTTCTGCAATCGGAACCTGCTGCAGTTATATTGAAATCCGCTCTTCCCGAAAAGAGGAACAAATGTTTATCCTCCGGAGGAGCTCCTGCCTGTGCCAGTCCCATGGGAATCCAACTGGGATCAATTCGAGAACCTGTGAATCTTGCATCTGTTCCATTCCTAGGGTACTCAGAGATATGATGGATTCTTGTTGAAACCCCAATGGACTATCATTGGGACCCTTCGGATCTAGAGTATCACGTGTCATTCAGATTGGACTGTTCTTGGGGTCGAAGGCGTCCGATTCGTATATTTTGGATTTGGGATTTGCCCCGTTCATGTTGGGATCATATGTGGATCCAGCTGGGGTCCTTCTGCGTTCTGGACACGGCCCACCCCCACTGGTCTTCTCCATCCTTTTTCCCCTCGTCCTTCTCGTCATTCTTCTCCACTGCGGTCGCTCGATACGGCCAAGCCCGCGCGACTCGCCGCCTCTCGGCGCCTGGCAGGCTAAGTGCAGGGCGCCTGCTCGGCTTTTTGTGCTGAGCGGTAGGCTCCTCTGCCCACCCCTTGGCAATATTTGTTCGGCCGCAGCTATCGATTCGACTGCTGGTGCGCCGCTGGTACGCTGGTACTCTCCTGCTCCCTGTCCTCGGCCTCTGATTGCGCGGGCGGCGCAGAAACTCCTCGCCGCCCTCCTGCTCGGCACTCCTCTCCCTCGGTTGCCGCAGGGCGCCCACCCGGCAACCCCCTGGCGAATCACCGGGTTCCCGCTCGTGCCCCCTCCCGCTTCGTGCTCTTCTTGCCTTTTCCCCTTCGTCCTTCCCCCCTCTTCCTCCGCCCCCCCTCGTCAGTCTCGCCCTTCTCCTCGTGTTTCTTGTCCTCGTCCTCCTCGTCCTCGTCCTTCCAGAAGCTTGTCGTTGTCCTCCTTCTCCTTTTCCTCCTCCGCACTATACCTGTCGGCTTCCGCAGGGAGCCAGGAGTGGCGCGCGCACTGCTGCTCATGCTCGTGCTCTCCCACCCGTTTCGGCGACGAGAGAGAAGGGGGCAGAGGTCGACTGAAGGACAGCCAGATTTCCTTCGCCGCGCCTCATGACCTGCGAACTCCCGTTCAACTGTGTGCGCGCGATCCCTGTGGTACCCTCTCGTGCGAGCAAGTGTGCACATCGGGCACGCGTATAGAGATGCATATCAATCAGGTGCAAGCGAACACCATCGAGAAACATGGCAATGACATCACGGAAAACGACGTTGAGGAGGACGGCGGCACGAGGCGCCTGAGTGTGTTGCTCGCTCTTGCCTGGCACCGCATGGCCTCAAGCGAGAATTTGGCTGACAAGTACCAGCTGCCTGCCGACATCTACGAGGCTATCACAGAGAGCGTGCGCACCAACACGAACCTGTGCGAAGCCATCGGCCAGGCCGAACGGTTCACGCGTGCCCACGAGTATTGGCACGGTGCTCCCCCAGAAGGCCTTTTCGATTTTTTCATTACTAATCATTGAGTTTGCGGAGTACGGGTGGGAGACTCTTAGCGCTGACGCCCGCTTATCTTTATTCTCGTGTCATTTGCTCATTTGCTTTTCCCTTTTTCACCCCCTCCCTATTGTTATCTTCGGGCAGCCTCCACTCCTCCTCCCCCCCTGTCAGACACGCATTACCTTCGCGCGAGCGCTCGAGTGCAGCACCGTGTCGGCGCCAGCCAAGTGGCAAGAGGCGGGTACGCCCCGCAGCGACGAGCGCAGATTGTACAACATTTTCCACACGTGGTATATCCATGCACAGCAGATCCAGTTTGCGAAGTCTTGCTCATTGCTCCCATGTCGTCGTTAAAAATCAAGGACCGTCCGACAGCGGCTCGTGGCGACACGAGCATGATCCCAATGGTGCGCGCACCATTCCCGGCTCCCTGCCGAAACCGAGCGGGAGAGAGCAGAAGGGGAATAGGAGGAGGACCACGGGGATCACTTGGAAGGACGAGGACGGGGAGGACGAGGACGGGGAGCACGAGTGACAGGACGAGACTGACGAGGAGGGAGCGGAGGAGGAGGAGGCGGCCCCCGAGGGAAGGCCCCCGTCCAGCCAGAGACCCGCTCCCCTCATAGCCAGCCTCTATCGGGGTGGAGAGGTTGGCTCGTCGGGGGCACGCGGAGGGGGAAGCCGGGCGGGCCTGGCTGGAGCTGGCCCCACGAGGGCGCGAAGGGTGACCGTGCGTGGCGGGGCGCGGGGCGCGACGCGCGAAGTTCGGAGGTGTATGTGCAGAGTTGGGCGTGAAGTAATGAGAGTGGCGATACATGGGGGGGGGGAGAAAAGTGCCCGATAGGGCCCCTTAGAAGGAGCTCGAACAGGCCCTTTTTCGACAGCTCTCGCTGCACCCTCCAATGAATTACAATCGCCCGACCACGTCTCGCGGCCAACAGTGGCAAGTTTTATGGGAAATTTGTCAGTGTGCAGGTGAGGCAGGTCCCGGCCCCACTTCAATTCTCTTCAGTCTTAGTTGAAACAGCGTGTCAGGGCGCGTGGGGAGCGGACCAGCAGGGAGGAACTTTACTTTTGGATGTCGCATCGCCGGAGAAAGAGCCCTCCTGTGCGTTCGATCGTCCCTTGGCTGTGCTAGCAGCTGCCTGCACGGCAGGCGGCAAACGAGACCCCCACGCCTTCCGAGGAGGAGGAGGAGGAGGAGGAGGAGGAGGAGGAGGAGGAGGAGGAGGAGGAGGAGGAGGAGGAGGAGGAGGGGAGGAGGAGGAGGATGAGGAGGAGGGAGGAGGAGGAGGAGGAGGAGGGAGGAGGAGGAGGAGGGGGAGGAGGAGGAGGAGGAGGAGGAGGAGGAGGAGGAGGAGGGCGGATCCTGTTTGCTCCGAGCGTGGCTTCGGGGCCACGAAGTGTAAGAAAAGCTCTGGCTGACCGGCTGGCGGCAGCAGCGGCGGCCCTCCCACCGCAAGCCCTCCTGATTCGGGGGCGGCCAACCGGGGGGACCACGGGAGATGGATATCATGGTCGGGGCCATGCTGTCTCCTCGGAGCTCATGGCCCCTCTCCTCTTACCTCAACGCGTCCCGTGGCCCCCCCCTGGGCCGCGCACGCGCCTCGGGCCATGGTCTGCGACCCCCCCTCTCGGACGCACCCGATTGACCCGGGGCGGCGAGGGCGAGCGGAGGGAGAGGGGGAACGCGGCGCCGAGGAGCACTTGACCTACTCGACGAGCACGCTGACCGGCGGGGACGCGGACGTCCCGCACGGCACGATCCACTTCCCCGCGATGGTGCGTGGCCGCCGCCGTCGTCGTCCTCGTCGCCGCCGCCGGGGTCGCCGGCGTCGTTCCAGAGGCTCCCGGGGCGTTCCTGGAAGTTCTCCGTCGCCACGGCTGGGCGCAGCTCGGCAATCTTGCCAGGGTGGACCCTCGGAGGGGCCCGTGGCCCGCGGACTCATCTTAGTGTCGGCCTCTGGCGAGGCCCGTCTTGGAACCCGGGGCCGTCCACTAGAACTTCCCATGCAGTGCACGGTTTCTCCCAGGGCCGTAGGCGACCCGAGGAGGAGGAGGAGGAGGAGGAGGAGGAGGAGGAGGAGGAGGAAGAGGAGGACTGGTCGCCTAACCCTCCACCGGGGCAGCGGCACGAGCGGAAGTGGCGACGTCCCAGGACTGGGGCCGTTCCCTCGGCCCTGCGTTCCCAGATCTCCGACGGCCTCTGATCTTCCCTGGTCGCCGGGCCCCTGGGAGGAGTCCCTCCTCCGTGGCCAGGCTCTGATCCCGGGTCGCTCTCTGAGGGTCCAGGGGCCCAGGAAGGTCCCCCGGAGGCCGACGCGGAGAAGCGCTGGAGGTCTGGGTCTGCGTCCCGTGTCGATCGCAGGCCGCCGGAGCATCGAGAGGAGGGATCTCTCGAGGGCAGTCTGTGTTGCGTGCGCGTCTTTCTCATGACATCGGCTACTCCATGGGGCTGGGTCCCGAGGGGCTTCTCCGAAGTCTTTCTGTCTTTCGAGCAGTTCTCTTCCTCGCCTGATTGCTATTCTAGGTTCCATGGGGCCTCATTTCTTGCGTCTCTGGTTGCCCCTCTTGTGGCCTCTAGCGTCGTTTTGGGGCCAAAGACGACCCGAACCACAAGCGGGCGGACTTTGAAATGAACGATGTGTACAGCATGTACTCCTGCTGGTGCTCTTGCATCCTCTTCCTCCACTCTCCTCCATTCTTCTTCACCCCATCATCCACCCTCCATCCTCCTCAGCCTCCAATCTCCTCCCTCCGCCCTTCTCCTTCAGTCTCCTCCATCCTCAACTCTCCCCTCCCCTTCCTCCCGCATGCATCCTTCTCCCTATCCTCCTCCGTCCCCTCCGTCCTCCTTTTTTCTCAGGTGGCCCTCCCTCTCTCTTGTCACGCCCTGATACCGAGTGCCCTCAGCCTGCCGAGAGCCCACCAAGGACCGCGGCGACCTTTTGCAGACGTCATTTCGGGTAGGAGCGAGGCTCGACCCCGATCCCCCGCTCGGCACAGGCGTCAACGGACGAGAAGAGCGTGGGCTAGGCAAGCGCGTCGCGAAGTTAGGGCCCGCAGTATCTTACAAGGTCGCCACGGTGAAGCAAACAGATTGGATCAGATGCAGAAACCAAGGCAGCAACAACGATATCGGGAGCAGCAGATGCAACAGCCGTCAGGGTCGTACCCAACGTGGACGTGCATGCTTTGTGGTGCTGAGAATTTGGTGTACGTATCAGGATTCGTGGAGGTTCGCATGTGATCCCCTCGCTCTGGTACCGCCGTTCCGGCGGCGTTGCCTGCGCCCGTGTTCTCAGTGAGTCGTTCGTTTGCTGCCAGTCGTTACAGCGCGCCGCCGCTGGAAAGGCCACCGCGCAGTTGGGAGGAGCCACCGTCAAAGAGGGGCAACTTCAGTCGGCAGGCACATGCTGATGCCACGTGGCCTACCAGCACAGAAGAGGCAGAAGCCCATCCTGTTTTCCGACGCGGGGAGAAGGGGGCGAGGCAGAAGCAGAGGCGGCAAACGCAGGCCCTCGTCAAGCCCGCGCAGGCCCCCTCAGGCTCCCAGAGCTCAGCCCGCGTCGCCCCTGATAGCCCGAAACCGAAGCCTGCTGCTGATTGCGGCGCAAGTGAAGCGTGCGCCTCCCGACAGCTCACGGCGCGATCTGCGGGTGCCGCGGAGCCTTTTCCAGAGGCCCTCGCCCGAGCAGCTCGCCGAAGCGCAAGCAGGCCGATAGGGAGCTCCCAGCAGAGGCGCACGCCACTGCCACGGGCCCAATTTCAAGCCCAAGCCCTCTGTCGTGCCAGGAGGTGCACCCACCTGCCCTGCGCGCGGGGCAGGCGCTGTTCAGGGTGTCTGGAGAGGGAAGGCTCTTCGCGCCAAAGGCGAAGGTTTCGTGCGCGAGGAATGGTGGCTCGAGGAGTGCATAGCGGTTGAGGATGTGGAGCAGTGGCGCGACTGGTTTTTGAGGCGCGCCGCGACCTCCCCAGTCAGTTTTGCCAAGCATTGCTCTTGAACTGGTTCGGTGGTGCGGAGCAGGTGCAGCGCCGTGACACCCCGCAAACCATGTTAGTCTTGCGCAGCGCACGCTAAGAGATGTCATTGCCAAGTGCCTGACAATTCGTGAGGTTGGCGGGGGCTGGGCGGTGATAGTGGGAGTGATTGGGCATGTGGCAGTTCCCCCCGCGAAATTGACCAGCACCGCTGTTTTCTTGGGGGGATCAAGAGTTTGTCACAGCCGTCCAAGATTGCCAATGACAGGTTATACTACCCCTCCCCCTTGGACTACCTCCTGTCCCCCCGCTGCTCTACTCCGCAATTTTTTGGGGGATGCGTGCAGTGGCGCCATTGATGCTGACGGACAGGAGGGACGATTAATCGTCTGCGGTCTCCATCGTTCTTCAGCCGGCCCTCCTCTAGCTTCTTCTTCTCCACCGAGTGGCGAATTAATCTTGTCTGCGCGAACGACGGTCTCTGGCCGAGGGCCCTCCGACGGAACTCCCCCACGACGCCTCTGCGCTTCAAAACTCTCGCGTGTGCTGGCCCGAGCCAGACAAGGAGCATCGGGGAAGGAGCTCGAGCGAGAGGGTTCCGGACAGCCATAGCGTTTAAGTGGTCGACCGGGGCCGCATTGAGAGCCGCCACGCAGTGCAACTTTGACCTTCCAGGAATTGCCGGCGGAAGACAGCCGCAGTTTCGAGGGCCGGTCGAGGACACAACGCATGACCCTTCTCTACATATCATTCATTTCTAACTCTTCGGAAGTCCTTTGACTTGTTTGGGGGCCAAGATCCTTTCATTTCTAATTGTTCTATCCTGGGCCTCTTCCTGGCCACTAGGGGGCCAGGAAAAATTAGAAACGAGCTAGTAGTGAGCATGATTAGAAATGAACGACGTGTACTTCAGTATCCCCCTCTTTTTGTTGGCAGCAGTTCTTTGACCGAGGGTTCTCGACCGATCGCCGAGCTCTTCCTCGGTACCTGTTGCAGGCGCGCGTGCCGAGATGGCGCAGAAAGGCATTGCGTTGACGGAGCGGGGACTGGGTATATTGGAGCGGTGGGGGACCGGATGTTTCGCATGTGTAAAGTGGGACCAAACCTTGAGACCCCTGGCCAGGGTGGATGGTTGGGGCCTGGGTGTTTTTTCTCCGCCCAGGGCGGGACACACTTTTTGATCGGCGGGGCGAGAGCGAACCTCTTCCGGCGGGACACACACACCTATATATATATGTATATATACACACATACATACACATGTATGCACGTATGCATGCATGCTTGTATGCATGCATGCATGCATGCATGTATGCATGTATACAGATATGCATGTATGCATGTATGCATGTTTGTATGTATGCATGTGTGCATGTATGTATGCATGCATGCATGTTTTTATCTATACATGTATGCATGCATGCATGCATGCATGCACGCACGCACGCACGCACGCACGCATGCATGCATGTATGTATGTATGTATATATATATGTATGTATGTATGTATGTATGTATGGATGGATGGATGGATGTATGTACGTACGTACGTACGTACGTACGTACGTACGTATGTATGTATGTATGTATGTATGTATGTATAGATGTATTGATGTATAAGTGTATAGATGTAGGTGTATGTATGTATGTATGTATGTATGTATGTAGGTAGGTAGGTATGTATGTATGTGTGTATGTATGCATGTATGTGTGTATGTATGTATGCTTGTGTGTGTGTTTGTTTGTATGTATGCATGCATGCATGCATGCATGCATGTATGTATGAGTGTGCACGTGTATATGTGTATGTGTGTATGCCTGTATGTGTGTATATTCAATATTGCATTGGCGCTTCGCGACATGCGCGTTGGCCTTCCAGGTTTGACATGCAGGCAGGAATGCAATAAGGTACAACGGAACATTTAGCGACCATTCGTTGTTGCCTTTTCTGGCCTTGCCGTTGTAATGATGTGTTTCGTTATTCTTCCCTCATGTTTCCGGTTCCTCTTCCTCATTCTCACCCTACCCTGCGAATTCGCCACCATGCTCAGCTCTTTTTGTGTAGGCCCATCCTAGGAGAGCCTCTTGCAAATCTCACGAAGGTTTTTAAGGGCTTGTTGGTGCCTTCTGGAAGCCTCCTGGGTTCCTGGGGGCCACTGGGGGCTTCCCTGGGCCACCCTGCTTCTAACCGCGGTTTCCTTGAACGACCGGGTCACGATTCGGAATGATTCGGGAGACGTCTTGGAGCCATTTTGGGCCGTCATGGGGCTGGGCCATCTTGGGGCCCTGTTGTGCCGTCTTGGGGCTCCTCTTGGACTGCCTGGAAGCCCTCTTGATTCAATTCTGGGAGGTGTTCTGGCCTCCTGGGCAGTCTCGGGCGCCTGGAAGACCGAATTATTGAGAATTCCCCAAATCATGCAAAAACCATGGGACATCATTTTTTTTTGCGTTTCGAATACCCCTTGGGGGTCTTCTTTGGGTCGTCTTCGGGCGTCTGGTGGGTGTCTGGGGCCTCTGTGGGCTCTCGTGGGGCCGTTCGGCCCTCCTGACCGATTTGGGCTCGTTGCCCAGGCCCCGCAGGGCCTTTAGGAGCCCCGGAAAGCACAGGGGACTGTTTGCCAGGGCGTCCAGGGTGCCCTCGGAGCCAAGGATCCAGAAGGGTCCGTTTGGGGGGGGGGGGCGGGGTCGCAGGGTCGCAAATGATACAAATAAAGAAGAGGGATTATATATATATATATATATATATATATATATATTATATATATAGATGTGTATTATGTCACTGCTGCCTGTGGTATCAGGCTCCATCCTTGTGGCTTCCCCGAAGGGAGGGGGCCAGACGGCGCTGCGGGGCTTGACGCTTCCTCCTGCCGAGTCGATCGATCGGACTCTTCTTCTCCCCTTTCCCCCGTCTGCTCCTTATCTCTCCTCCTCCTCCTCCTCCTTTCTACCTCATCCCTGCCTCCTCCTCCTACTCCTCCTCCTCCTCCTGCCTCTCCACTGGATACCGGGAGGAACGAGGGGTGACTCTCGACGTGACGGTGTACGGAGTGCGCCTGGGGCCAGTTCCTGCCCCAGAGGCTCTGTCGCGATCGCCCGGGCCACAACTGCAGGAGCAGGCGTGGCACGGCGAGCGGCGACGAGCGCGGCACATAGGGGGAGGATAGGAGGAGGATAGGAGGAGGAGGATAGGAGGAGGATAGGAGGATAGGAGGAGGATAGGAGGAGGATAGGAGGAGGATAGGAGGAGGATAGGAGGAGGATAGGAGGATAGGAGGAGGATAGGAGGAGGATAGGAGGATAGGAGCAGGCACAGCAAGGTCGGAAGCGCCGGCCAGCCAGCAGGTGCCCCCACCGGAGAGTTTGGTCCTCCCAGGCCGCCGGGGGGCGGTCGCCGGGGGGCACCCTGCGAAGCTCAAGCTCGACGACGGAGGAGGAGGAGGAGGAGGAGGAGGAGGAGGAGGAGGAGGAGGAGGACCTGGCGTGTGGCGCCGCCGGTTCTGGCCCACCACATTTCGGCACGACAGGCTGACGACGCCCTGGTTCTCAACCGTCAAGCGTCCCGAGCCTTTCCCAGCTGCCCGCCCCGCGGAGCGGGGAACGCGTCATCCGCTCGCAGGGCATGGCGTGGCGCCAGCGCTGTTGGAAAGAAACACACAGACACAATTAATCGCCGACTCCAACAACAATATAGGAAAACCTGGGAAGTGTGGGGGGGCAGTCCCGGCTGGCTTCAACCGGCCCCCCTAGTATTAAGTCGGGCCTGTCCCTCCACAGGGGGAATGCTCCAAAATAGTTTTAAAAGATAGTCTGGAGACTATTTGTGGAGCATGTTTGGGCTCATTTTGAATATGTTTGGCGTATTTTTCTATTTGTCGTCGAAAATCCCCCTGTAGGGGGACACGCCCGACTTTCCCCCAGTGGCCCCTGGAGCGGCCTCGGCACCTCCGTCCTGGGGCGCGGAGCGCTCCAGGGATCGCCGCCGGGGGCGGCGGCCGTGTGCCGAGGCCGAGCCTGTCGAGGCCTGCCGTGGCGACCTCTGGGAGGGCCCCTGGAGACCCGATGCTGCAAAGGAAGGCCTCCTCCTCCTCCTCCTCCTCCTCCTCCTCCTCCTCCCTCCTCTCCTCCTCCTCCTCCTCTCCTCCTCCCTCCTCCTCCTCCTCTCCTCCTCCTCCTCCTCCTCCTCCTCCTCCTCCTCCTCCTCCTCCTCCTCCTCCTCCTCCTCCTCAGGTCTCATGCGTTTTTGGCCGTTTTCGGCGTCCAGGGGCCCTCGCCGGGCCTCGGGAGCGTCACAAAAACGATTCGGGACGAAAAACCAGTCTGGACCTCCGGGGCCCACGCACCGAAAAAATTGGAGCAGCCGGATGTCTGGGGCTGTCTGTGCGCAATCTGGAGCCGTCCCGAGTGTATCGGCCTCGGCCTCGGCTCGTCGGCTTGGCCGCGGAGGTGCGGCTGCTGCAGCGCGTCTCCGAGTACGTTGGCAGGCTGGAGTTCCAGCGGGAGGCCAAGGCCCAGAGCTCCGGGCGCCGCCCTGCCCTCTGCTGCTCCGGGCTGCCGTGGGGCAGGCGAGGCTGCCTCGTCTCTGGAGGATCGAAGCGCGCACGGCAAGAATGGCGACGAAGAGCGACAGCGACGCGGAGATGGTCCACTTGGAAGCCCTGGGCGCCTGTGTCTCCGCCGTTTTGTTTGTTGGGGCTTCTTGGCGGGCGGGCCACCTGACGAACACGCCATGTTGTTTTTGCGTTTTTTAGACTATGTTTTAGCGTTTTCAGGCCTGTCGCTGCGAATCCTTATTGCGAAGGCCTTTACGGCCAGTGCCGCCGACCCTGAAGGGGGACGACGATGACGACGACGGCGGCGGCGGCGGCGACGATGACGATGCTGACGTTGGCCAGAGTCCTCAGGGATGCTTCGTGGGGTCTTGGGGGCCTCTTCGGGCTTCCTGTGGGCCTCTTGTGGGCCTCTTGGGGCCTCTGGGGAACCTCTTGGGGCCTCCTGGGAGCCTCTCGGGGCAAAGGGTAATGTCCGTTCGGGTCCCCCGTCTCTGCACGCTCTTGGAGCCGTCTTGGGGACTTCTTGGGCAGTCTTGGAGGCGCTTTGGGGTATCTTGAGGTCCTCTTAGGCTGTTTTGGAGCCCTCCTGGAGGCCTCTTGGGGTGGTCTTGGAGGCCTCTTGAGCGGCGGGAAACGGAAAAGGCGAGAATGTCCAATTCTTTCAAACGCTTATGCAACTCAATGAATTTTGCCTTATGGAGCCCTCTCGGGAGTGCTCTTGGAGGCCTCTTGGGTAGTCTTGGAGGCCTCCTTGGCGGTCTGGAGGGCGTGAAGGCGGTTCGGACTGATCGTTTGGCGATTGGGGGGCCCCTTTGGACCGTCTCGGAGACCTCCCAGGGCTCTGTTGTCCTGTCTTACTCTTTTTGAGGCCCTGCAGGGGACCCCCAGGGTGGATGCGTATCTAACCCCCCCCCCGGGACCCCACCCCCCTCCCGACGGGGGAAGGGTCAAAGGGAAGGGGCTTCCCTTGCTCTTTCTGAGGCCACGGGACCCCCAGGGGGGATGCGTATCTGACCCCTCCCCCATGACCCCCCCCCCTCCCGACGGGGGAGGGATCAAAGGGAAAAATCTTCCCTTCGACTCGATTATGCAATTTCTAGTTTTTTTGACTCGCTGACATGCTCAAGGAGGAGGGTGCAGGGAAAGAGGACGACGGAGACGACGACTGACGGAGACGTCAAGCCCCTCAGACACGCCGACAGGATCGGCGGATATCATTATGTTTGTTCCCCTTTTTCACGATATCGTATGAGAAGTAGTACTAATTTTAATACTACTACCCGTATTTTTTTTTAGAATTTTTAGCACTACTTCTACCACTTATTCCCCAATCAGTGCCTTCACTGAAGGGGTCCTCGCGGTAGTTGAAAGATTTGGCGAAAGTGGCCCGCCAATTTTGGTCGCACGCCAGGTTGCCGGGTTCCCGGTTCCGGGTTCCCAACGAAGCACAGCTATTACGTCGTACCCCGCAGTTGCGGATAAGAGTGAGGGGGCGGCGAGGACGTCGTCAGTCTGCGAGGCTCTGGAGAAGCCCGTCGCAGGCGCCTAAATTTTACAAATTATGCCGTGAGCCCGCCGTAGGCTCCGATTTTTTCGTTAAAGCAATGCGTGTGTATGTGTGTGTGTGTGGGTCGCGAGGTGGGTTGAGGGTGGGTCGCGGGTGGGTCGCGGGCCGGGTCGCGGGTGGGTCGTGGTGGGTCGCGCATGGGTCGCGGGTGGGTCGCGGGTGGGTCGCGGGGTGGATTGCGGGTGGGTCGCGGGTGGGTCGCGGGTTGGGTCGCGGGCTGGGTCGCGGGCTGGATCGCGGGGTGGGTCGCGGGCAGGATCGCGACGTGGGTCGGTTGGGTCGCGGGCTGGGTCGCGGGGTGCGGGCGGGTCGCAGGCGGGTCACGGGGTTGGTCGCGGGTGGGTCGCGGGCTGTGTCGCGGGCTGGGTCGCGGGGTGGGTCGCGGGTGGGTCGTGGGGTGTGTCGCAGGGAGGACGACGACAGCAACAACGACAGCAACAATCATTCTAAGATTGTTCGCTGTAACTTGCCCGTGTGTCATTCAAAACGAGTTCCACACCCTCGATACCCGCCTTTTTTGTCTTCGATTCCACCCCCTTGGGGGGGATGTTTCCTTTTTGCGGGGGGCGGCGGGCTTAGGCAGGCGGGCGAACCTGAACGGGCGGACAATCCTTCGTGGGCGTACATGTGCCCGCCATTGGAATTGGTGTGGGCCCTGCAAAAAGAGGAGGGGGAGAACGAGGGAGAGTGGGAGGAAGGGATGGGGGAGGGACGAAGGAAGAGGGACAACGCCAGGAGAGAATGAGCGAAGAGGGGGGCGGTTGATTAGAGGCAGAAATAGAGAGAGAGAGAGAGAGAGAAAGCGAAAGAGAGAAACAACACATAAACATATATGAGAGGTAGAGCAAGAGAGAGAGAGAGAGAGGGAAAGAGAGAGAGAGAGAGAACGAGAAAAAAGTAAAGAAAGAGGGAGGGAGAAAGCAGGAGAGGGGAGGGAAAAGGGAGGAGGGAGAGGAGGGAGAGGGAATAGGGCAGAGAGGCATAAGGATGAGGGAAGAGAAGGGGGAGAGAGAAGGGAGGAGAGGGGAGGGAGAAGGGAGGAGGGAGAGGGAAGAGGACCAGGAAGGTAAGAGCATGAAGGTTCGAGGAAATCCTAGGCGAAAGCGCCGTTCCTGAAGGAAGTTTCGGGCGGGAGCCCACGACGGGCGGGCGATCCACTGACGGGCGGGTCGGGCGGGTGGGACATTCAAGCGGGAAGCGTGAGTATGGCGAGAGCGCGGTTACTAAGTAAATTGTAACGGCGTCCTTGGCGCAGCGTGCTTCCTGAGCGTCGAAATCGCGATTTCTGAATACATTTCATGGACGTCACAGGCGAGAGCGCAATTCTTGAATACAACGTGAGGGGTTCTCTGGCGGGAGCGGGGGTCTTGATTAAATTGCGAGGGAGTCTTGGCTCAATCGCGACGTTCCTGAATAAATTGTGAGGAAGTCTCAGATGGAAGCGGGGGTCCTGACTAAATTGGGAGGAAGTCACAGGCGGGAGCACCGATCCTGAGTAAATTGTGAAGAAGTCTCAGGAGCGGGGGTCCTGAGTAAATTGGAGGAAGTCTCAGGCGGGAGCCGTTGTTGTCGTAATCGGGGGGGTCAGGGGCCCAGTTTGAGCAGGAGGACTTTGCCCTGTCAAAAAACAGGGTGCGAGCATCGAGGGGCACATTCTGATGGAGAAGAAACAGTATGCACCAGCGAGGGGGGATCAACAATAATTATTCTTCAGGAGTGAGAGTTCAACAACAACAACAACGACAACAACAGCAACAACCACCACCACAACAACAGCGCAACCAGCAGAATCCTCACCACGGGTCCCCACTTGAGCCACGCACCCACGGACAATGAATGATCGCTCGCCCCCTCACTCTGGTTAGTAACAGTGGGAAGACTAGACGCAAGTAAACAAGTGAGGACGTCGTTGGCAACAATGTCGAACAATGCAATCAACTAACTTGAGCCCGCACAGAGAAATGCGTAGCTACAAACGGGAACAAACAAACGGTCCGTTGTTATAGCGTTTTTTTTTGTGTGTGTGTGTGTGTGTGTGTGAGAGAGTGTTCTTTTTTCAAGTTGGGCCTAAAAAGCGCTAGGCACTTGTTCTGCAACACGCCGAGTCAAACATGTAGAAAACACAAAGTACATATATTCATAGGTGGAAGAGAAAAAGAGAGAGAGAGAGAGAGAATGTCCCCAAGCACCAGCTGTGGCGATTCCCAGCTGTGGCGCCCCTGCGCGCGTTCGGTCGCTGGGGCCTGGCCCACGGGGCCTGGCGTCTTCTCTCTGGGAAGCAGGCATCCGACCAGAGTGCTCGCTGAGCGGTGGCCGGCGCGCACGCACAGATGGCCCGATTGGGGCGTCCCCCAGCAGCTGGCACCAGTATTAACTCCTTCGTGTTTGGGGTCTCCCCTTTGGGATGCTCTTTGCGTGGGTGGTGCGTCTTCATCTGGCCATGGGCCTTCGGCGAGGGGGGCTGTGCTCCTGACTTGCAGGTTTCGACCAGCAGACAACGGCATCAACATTGACGTTCGGAGCTCCGCGCGGCTCTTCCAGATCGGTGCTGGACCTCCCTCCCTGGCGCGCGTAGCGTTATGTCAGGCCTGTCCCTCTACAGGGGGACGGTTCAAAATAGTCAAAAAATAATATGGGGGCGATTTTTTGTGTATTTTCTGCCATTTGGAATTATTTCTTGGGTGCTTTTTCATGTTTCGTCCAAAATCCCCCTGTACAGGGACAGGCTCGACCTAAGCGTAGCGCGCCAGTGGCAGCGTTGGAGGACCGTTTCTTCGATTCGGGTCGGGGAAATCACCACCCACCAAACCACCCCAACCCAACCCGAAGGCTCAGATTTACCCTCGATTTCTAGTGGGGGGTCCGGGAACATCGAAAAAACACATATGGAGCCCATACCCCCCCCCAACCCGAAATTCGGGTCTTCGGGTTGGGTTGGGGTGGTCTGGTAGGTAGTCAGGAAAGGAACCCGTTCGTGGCCGAGGCTCGCAGTGGCCAGACGAGCCCCTTCGTTCCTCGGTTGGCGCTGCCCGCGGCACAGCAGCACGATGGCTGTGGCAACAAGCCTGACTGGCGCTGAGGCCGTAGACGTACTCAGAAATCCGACGTGGTGGCCCAGGCATGATCGCGTCGTTGAACAAAATCAGGACGGGAGTTTTTTTTGTTATTTTCGGCCCCGGGGGGCCCTCGCTGGGCCTCGGGACCGTCAAAAAACGGCTCAGGACGAAAAACCCGTCCCGGGGAAAGGGCCGGGACTTCCAGGGACGCCGTCCCTTCCCCGGGATTGGTTTTCACCTTGAATCATTTTCGTTGGGGGTCCTGGAGGCCGAAAGTATCCCCAAAGCTTCCGTCCAGTTTGAAAAAAGGCACCAGGACGGCCTCTGATCGCAGCCGTTTTGGCTCAAGAGGGTCCCGGCGCGGTTGTTGGCAGGGGGGAGGCGCGGGGCGTGCTGCGGCCCAGCGCCCGGCTCTTGGCCGGCTTCGAGGCCGGCATGCTTCCCTCGCTGCAGGCGCTGCTGGCCAACGCTGGCGTCGGGGGCCCGCAGGGTGGCCGGGGCTCAGAGGGAAGCGAGGTGCAGCGCAAGCGGGGCTCAGCCAGCGCGCCGGAACCCCTGAGGATCCTGCGATGCCGGAGTTTGGCCAAGCTCGGGGGGGTGGCCCACACGACTCCTAGCAAGCCATCCCCCCTCCATGACGTCCTTCTCGCCTCGCCCCAGGACGCATGTGTGCGGCCAGAGGGGAGCTCGAATGTCGAGCATGACGCTACGGAGGGGGACGGTTTGCTGGGGTCCGTTAGGCCACGCCCGACAAGCCTGCTTTGGGAGCCGCTCGTGGGCCTGGAGGCGGCCGTACGGATTGGCCGAGCCGGTTTGGGGGAGCCCTCCAGACATTTACAGCGCAGTGTTTTCTACACTGGCGGAGCCACGTTTGCACTGCCACGTCCGAGAGGATGGCGGACGCGCCACACCGGGGGGGGCCCAAGATCTGCCACGCGCAGCTGCCTGCGGTGGGTGCAGTGGCAGATCTGCACTGCGACGTTTGCACTACCACTGCACTGCCGCGTCCGAAAGGCAGATCTTTGCGCGAACCACGTATCTTGAGCGCGTGGGTAGTCCACGCCACGTCCGGAAGGACACCGCTTGCACTTCCCATCCCCCTGTATTCGCCCTCGTGGGATGCCCGGTGGGTCCTCGAGGCCGCGGCCGGGTCCGCCTCCTCCTCCTCCTCCTCCTCCTTCTCCTCCTCCTCCTCCTCCTCCTCCCCCTCCTCCTCGTCCTCCTCCTCCTCCTTCTCCTCCCCCCTCCTCCTCCTCCTCCTCCTCCTCCTCCTTCTCCTCCTCCTCCTCCTCCCCCTCCTACTCCTCCTCCTCGATGCCGCGGCTGGGCGGCAGAGGTCCGAAGGAGCAGCGGGGCATCGGTACACCCTAGGCGATGCTTAAGAAAACTTGAGTTTTCGGCCAGAGGCTCGATGATTCTTAATGTTCCAATGTAAATCTTAAGATTTCAACAGAAATTCTGGGTTTTTGTTTAAGTTCTGAGACTCTGAGTTTCTTAACCCATGATTTCTTAAGCATTTCGCAGGGTGTATCTCTTCTGCTCCCTGCAGGGGCAGGTGCGCTGCAGGTGGCCGGCACACATGCCAGCAGCAGCCTCTCGCCCCTGGAGGAGTTCAAGGCCAGGGAGGCCATCGCGAGGGCGCACAGCGCCGCCAGCGAGGCCGAGCTGGGGACCCTTCTGAAGCAACACGCCGCGCTACAGCAGCGCATCGACCTGCTGAGCGGGAAGGACTCGCGCTGGTGGCCCGAGCGGACGCACCTGCAGGCGCAGCTGGGCGCGGTGGAGAAGCGCATCCAAGTTCTCGCCCAGGCCTCGAAGAAACGTGAAACTGCATAAACTTCCATGTTCGAAGC